ACGACCCAACAGTCACCATTTTACCTAAACTACGGACAAGACCCGACAGTACCCATGACCCCGAATCCCGACAACCCAGTGCCACGAGCACAACATTTCGCCGAAATATTACAAGCAGCACGGACCCGGGCAGCAGATGCAATAAAAAAATCCAACATCATCGCTAAACGTAACGCCGACCGCCACCGCGGACCTGTCACTTACCAGCCCGACGACCTGGTTTTACTTGACACCCAGAACCTCCGCCTGCCCATCACCCCAAAACTCCGCCCCCGATACTGTGGACCATTTCGCATCAGCCACATGATCACACCCGTCACCGCCCACCTCCTCCTCCCTGCTGACTGGTACGTCAACCCCTCATTCCATGTCAGCCTGCTTCGCCCTTACGTCCCGCCCACGGGCCAACTGCCACACGCTCGCCCAGCCAGCATGACACGACCGCCAACTGAACCAATCATCACCCCCGAAAAAATCCTGAGCCACCGAGTTCGTGACCCTCGAGGAGCCCGAAGGATCGAGTTCCTGATCCGCTGGAAAGACCGTACACCCACCGAAGACAACTGGGTTCCCCTGGACAGAATCGAAAACCACCCCGTCCTCGCCGAGTATCTGCGCAACCGAAACTTCAGGGATGTACACGCACTTTCGTAAGGAGGACCTCCTTAGGGGAGGGGGGTAGTGTAAGGAAAACTCCTTTTCCTTACTTCGCGTCCCCGCTCAGCGCGTACACCACTGTAGCCCCACAGTCAGCACCGTTACCACTCGCAACTCTCGCATCGACAATCCTCCCGCCACCTTCGCACGTCGCACCCCGACCTCACGGCTCGGCGGGTAACCCGCGCTCCGGGCCTCCGCTTCGACACTTTTCCCAACCTCAGTCCCAGGCCCGTCACGCGACAACCACAGTCCAGTACCGTTACCACTGTAGTTTCGCTATATATTCTTCGCTCACGCCTTCGCTCATTGTATTCTTGCTTCGATAGTGCAATTCTAGTTAGTTTACTCAATTGCACTCGTAACATTAACACTTCAGCTGCGTCGTTCAGCAATCTTGAGCAGATAACAGGTTTGAGATTGTCCCTGGCCTCGCATTTCTTCTTTCACCACACGCAGCAACAGCTGTGAATACCACCCCTTCATGTCCGTCAGCGCTTGAAGAGGCATCTTGTCTATCCCTTCATAACCTTGACCTTAGCGCTCGAGAAGCGGCCGGGGTCTGCATGCAACCGGCCTGCGGCAGGCACGTGCGAATTGAACTTCGATCATGAGTTCGCTCTTGGCACACATAGTTACGTGATTTTACAATCAAGGATGTTCGGTCCACGTCTTCTAGCGAAAAGGGTCGGCACACCAAGTTTCTTACCTTCGTTTCACGCTTGCCATTCGAATCGCCCTTGGTAGATCCAGCGGTATCATCCTACATACAGCTGGGTGATGAACTGGTGCATGGTAATCGTCAGCCAATCAGGAGGTGCCGTGTCTCCAAAGCTCTCAACTGGGAACGAAACGTCAGGGGGTACACTTGACAGCTTATCAATCCCCATCAATCGCTGTGCAACCCCCAAACTCCGATCTTCCTTCAACTGCATATTATTTTACTAACAGTTGCTATATCCTTGTACCGGTCTAAAAATCGCCAGCTTTCTCGTTCCAGTTGTGATTCAGAAGGCTGACTTAGTCTGCGGATCTGAGTTCCTTCTTTTCCCTAAGGTTCAGGGAGCACTCCCCCATTTATTCCTGGTCACTCTCCGACGTCCTTCACGTGATGATCCCTGTTTCGATCGAAGTTTCTGTCCTGGCCCGTTCGCTGTTTCCGTGATCCGTGCGACTCGTGTACAAGATCCCAACTTCACAATCTCGAGATGTTGCCAAGTCAGTTTCCCGTCTCTCGTTTTGACTTCAGGCATGAGCTGTTGCTGCGACAGTACCAACCAGAAATTCGCGTCAGGACGCAAGCGACCATATGGGGCAAGCATCTTCTCTCTCCTCCTTCACCAGCAGCGAAGCAGTGAGACGATCACACGACAGGACGCCTGAAACTCAGTTCCGTGCTTCTCGTTCTCAAGACTTATGGAAGGAGGAGATCAAAGTTGGTTCTTTGAGGCGAGTTGAGCATCTGTGTTTAATCTCCTGATTGATGCGCTTCGCAGCGCGCCGCGCAACGCATCGCGTGCATCAGCTTCTCATACGGGCCCCACCCACCCCTCGAGGAGTATACTTTCAGCATGTGCCCCACACATGAGCATGCGGATTCTTCAGCGTATTCCGCACCTGCTGCTCTTTCTCCGGCCGTCCCCAGTGCTGTTCCAATCCCAGATCCGCCTTCCCTCACGCCTGCAGAAGTCGGTTCCCAATCAGTTGATATCGCTGCTGACCTTGCTGATCCTGTGTCCGAGCCTTTTCTCACAGAAGCGCGTCTGAAATCGTCATCTGGGCGTTTCTCCTTTCCTGGAGACATCTCCTGCACTGCTAAAGATTTGTCATCGCCAGGACTTCAGGATGTGGCAGAACAGAATGTATCCCCCTTACAAGCACGCTTCTTAATGGATATACCCGCGCCTCCGCCCCATGGTCCCCTGGAGTGTACTGCACGGAGTAACCTGGCCCGTAGCTTAAGCAGCAGTCGTAGCAGGAAGGCGCGTGAGAAGCCCCAGCTGCAACCGCATGAGGAGTTCGAGAAGCTTCCAGAAACCAGGGAAAGCCAGCAGGAAGGAGGAGGAAGAGGACGAGGAAGGGGAAGAGAAGGAGGCAGAGGAGGAGGCAGAGGAGAAGGAGCAGCAGGAGGAAAAGACTTGGAATGGGGGGCAATTGGAGGTTTGGAGAGGATTAGGGCTAGTTTGGCCGGATTGGGAAGGAGAGCGAGGGGTATGAGCATAGAGCAGCTTGAGGCAGAGGCTAGGAGGACGGACCCTGTGCCGGATGGTTCTAAGAGAAGTTCTTGGGTAAGTGGAGGTACAATTAGGCCAAGTGGGAACCCCAGGAAGCAGCAGCGGTTGCTTCCCAGCGAGGACGAGGTGAGAAGGCTGCAACTGATTGGCCAACGCTTGGAGCCACTCTGAGACGAGCTCTTGGGGTGGGTGGGAGTGGGGGGGACGACTGGGAAGAACAGGGGGCAGGGGTGGCGCACACAGGAGCATCAGTAGCAGGATCAGCGCTGGCAGGATCAGCACTGGCAGGAGCAGCGCTGGCACAAGGTTGGAGTTTTAGTGAAGGGCGGGGAAGAGGTGAAGTAGTAACAGGTATGGAAGAGGACGCGGAAGGAATGGTGCGGCAGGAACAGCAGTCTGAGACCCAAGAGGAGCAGCCAACAAGGGTGTTACCGCTGCCAGCTCAGGAGCAGCACCAGGAGCAACAACAGCAGCAGGGCCAACAACAGCAGCAGGGCCAACAACAGCAGCAGGGCCAACAACAGCAGCAGGGCCAACAACAGCAGCAGCAGGAGGAGAAATTTCCTCTGTCAACTACCAGCAAAGTGCCAGGCAGTGGAGGGCTTTGGAGACGAGGGGGGTCAAATACTGGTCATGAGTGCAGATTCTGCGGCAAGGGATTTAATTCTCCTCGGGCGCTTGGAGGGCACATGAATCTGCACAAGAAAGGTGAGACATGCTCGGTGTTGTGCGCGAGCTTAAGTTTGAATATATGCGCTCACCTTAGTGTGTGTGTGCGCGTGTGCTTGACCAAAGCTCCTTCAATCTTTGGTCACTTCTGGTCAGTCCCGCTCTTCTTTCTTCCCGCTCTTCCTTCTTCCCGCTCTTCCTTCTTCCTGCTCTTCCTTCTTCCCACTCTTCCTTCTTCCTGCTCTCTCTTCTTCCCAGACCTCATCCCCCCATCCCCCTGTTGATGCTCCTGTTCCGTGGTGGAGGGAGGCATTGCCCTTTGCATACTCGTTGGTTGTTGTGGCGGCCTGATCGTGCAGACTCGTTGCATTGCATTCATTGTGCTTGTTGCAATGGCCAGAGCGCAAGCTAGAAGACGTGTTTCTGAACAAGGCCGAGGCTCAAGCCCGGGCTGACCTGCATCTGCGCCAGCAGCGGAGGCTACAGATGGCGCTGCAGCAGCAGCAAAAGGAGGAGCCGCAGCAGGAGCAGCAGCAAAAGGAGGAGCCGCAGCAGGAGCAACAGCAACAAGTTGTGCTGTTGCACCAACAGGAGCTTCAGCAAGAGCAGCAGAACCAGCAGCAGTGTCTGCTGCAGCAGCCTCAGCCTCAGCAACCACAATTTCAAGGTGACCCATGCGTTGAAGTAAACAACGAGCAGCAACTGGAGGAGCTGCTTCAACAGCAGCAGCAGGAGGAGCAGATGCAGCCACAGAAGCAGCGGAAGCAGCAGCAGAAGCTGCCTCCACAGCAGCAGCCACAGCAGCTTCAAGCCGCAGCAGAGGCACCACCGTTGCATCTGTCACCTGAGCTTCCCCCACAGCAGCAGCAGCAGCAGCAGCAGCAGCAGCAGCAGCAGCAGCAGCAGCAGCAGCAGCAGCTCGTTCCTGGAACGCATTATCTCTCTCCTCGCGTATTCCACAGCACTGGAAGCAGAGCTTCTTCTGGCCCTTCACTTGCCGTTCCTGCTGCAATGGGTGCTCCTGATGTTATGAGTGCATTTGCATCCATGGGTCAAGGAGTGTGGCCAGACGAACAGATGGAGATTGATGCACAAAGCATTTGGCCGTATCAGGTTCAGCAACAGCAGCATCAAATGCAGCAGCAACAACGGTGGCGAATGCAACAGCAGGAGAACCAGCGTCAAGAGCAGCTGCAGCTGCTGCAGCGTCATCGGCAGCAGCATCGACAACTGCAGTGCCTGCAGCAGCAAGAGGAGCAGCAGCTTCAGTGGCAGCAACAGCAGCAAGCAGATCAGCAGGAGAAGCAGCATCATGGGTTTCAGCAGATTCATGGGCAAGAGCAAAAGCAGCAGCAGCGGCAGCAGATGCAGGGCCACAAGCAGTCAGGGTTCACCCGGCCCAGGCCACGCAAGACTGTCACCAGCAGACCTCACAACCGCATGCCTTTATCTCTCCCCCGCACTCCCACATCCCTGCCTCCTCACACTCCCTCATGGAAGCCCATTCAGACACCCATGCAGCCGTCCACCCACTCCAACCCATCCCCACCACACCATCCGCTCCTCCCTCATCCTGCCCCTGACCCCTTCCTCTCCACCCCCTCCCCCGAGCTCCTCCAATCTCTCGTCCTCCACTCTTGGCCCCCAGGAGCAGCGTCCAGTAACCCTGTAACACCTCGTGCGGTTACCACCGGTTCCTCCTTCGCTCCTGCCCATCCTGCTTCTGTTCCGCCCTCCCCTTTGGCCTTGCCTGTGGCTTTGGTACCACCAGTGACCAATCCCTCTCAGCATCAGCCCCTCCTTTCTCCACCAGTACCTGCTCGTCAGCAGCGAGCATTACCTCCTGCCTTGCTGGCTGCATGGATTACATCTGCCGTACGCTCCCCTGGAGTTACGTCTGGCGTTACATTGGATAGAACGGTGCCAGCCCCGCCTGTAGCAGGAGCAGGGCGGGAGCAGCAGCAGCAGCCAATGGAAATATCAAGGGAAGCAACAGGGCCATGGGATTCCTTGCAAGCACTGTCAGCAGCAGGTTCGGAGCCGGTGCTTTGGACCGGTGGGGAGAATGTGGCATGGCTGCGACCGCATGGGCGTCAGCAGCATCAGCAGCAACACCAGCAACAGCAACAACAGCAACAGCAACATCAGCAACAGCAACAGCAGCAACAGCAACAGCAACATCAGCAACACCAGCAGCAGCAGCAGCAGCAGCAGCAGCAGCAGCAGCTTCAGCAGCAGCAGCAGTGGCAGGAGCAGTTTTTGAGTCAGTTGTTAGCGTTGGCAGAGCAGCAAGCACAGGCAGGCATGGGTGGAGCGCAGCAGAGGCAGGGTGAGCAACAGGGAGAGAGCAATCAAGCAGCAGCATTTATGGGGCCACTGAATGTTGGCCAGGGAGCAGTGCGAGCTGTGGGAGCAGTAGAAGGAGTGGGAGCAGTGGGAGTGGGAGGAGTGGGAGAAGGAGACGGATCGTGGCATGATTCCAGTGCTTGGAATTGCCGCCTGAAGCCTCACACCTCCTTGGCTTGACTGCGCCTGCTGTGACGATGCCTGCTGTTCTGCCTGCTGTGATTTCGCCTGCTGTGACCACACCCGGAATCTCCTCTGCTCTTCCGTATTTGACCTCTGGCCCTCTTGCCGCTGCACTCGCCTCTGCTCTTGCTGGGGTAACGCCTGCCCTAGATATACCTTCACTGGCTACGCCCTCCGCAGTGACGCCTGCACTGGTTAGTCCTCCGCTGGTTGCCGGGCCTGCTGTTACAACTCCTGCTGCCGCTGCTCCTCTGCTTATTCCACAGTACGGTGCTTCAGCTGGAGGTGGAATTACATCTCATGGTCCTTCAGGTGCTGCCGTTCCATCTCTTGGAGTCCATAGTTACATGGAGTCAGTTCCACCTGCCTCCATCCCACCATACCAGCAGCAGCAGAAGCAGCAGCAGTTGTTGACTTCTCAGCCCTCCTTGGGCCAGCAGCAGGAGGCTGGCGCTCTGGCGGGGCAATCATTGCAAGGGGAGGGTGCAGGAGGGAATGACGAGGACGAGCTTGCACAGCTGGAACAGCTCCGCCAGTTGCTGCTCTTACAGGAACAGCTTATAAGGAAACAACCAGAGGGGGGAGAGGGGCTGCAGCGGAGGAGGCAGAGGTTGGAGGGGATGAAATGTGTGGAGTGGTGTGGAGATCTGAACCAGCAGGTGGAGACAGAGGGGGGAGTGGCGACAGAGCGTGAGAGGCAGTGCCGTTCAGAGGAATAGGCAACATGAAATAGATGCGTACGCTGGGCTGGGATGGATAAATGGAGGAATGTGTGGATAACCTATGGTACTTGGTCTTGTTACTAGTACACATGGGGGTTGTAGGAATACATCCATAGATCAGGGACTTTACCGTGCCCAGAAATACCTAGATGCTTTGCCTGAATGCTAGGGCTTGTAAATATGTGGTGCACGCGAGTTATACCTACAAGTTATGCAATAAATGCATGTTCACACCATGGGTACATACCTAAGAGTTATACTCAGCTCCAACTCATGTAGAAATGCAAGTTTTCTAATCAAACTATGTACAGATGAATGTGTGAACACTTTCTAAGGGCGTGTCTTGCGGGGTGTTTATTGGGCCTTTACACCTTTTTTACGTAATTGTGTTTTTTTCCCAAATGTGCTGCCCGCACGTAGAAAATGGTTTGTCTCTGCCTGACGCGAACCCATTTTTTTGCACGCGGACATGCCGTATTCTTCCGGACATAACACCCGGGGGTATTATGATAACCACAGAGAAAAAAGGGGGGGGGGGGGGGGGGGGGGGGGGGTCCTCTCAACGGAAAATCCTATATAATACCCGGGTGGTTATATATGGCATATTCTAGTGTAAGAGTATTTTTTATTAGACAATTTGGGTGTTTCAATGGTCGTTTTGACATCACAGTTTGAGACGAGAATGTGAGTTTTGGCGAGAATGTGAGTTTCACCTCTCGGGCCACTTGCAGCGAAAGATTCGCCAGCGTGGCGACAGCGAGATTGTGGGGAGGGGGGAAATGTCTACTTGCAGCGAAAGATTCGTCAGCGTGGCAACAGCGAGATTGTGGGAGGGGGGAAATGTCGGCAGATTCTAAGTGAAAGTACACGCGAAATTTCATTTAGGAAGCATCCTCGCGACATTCTCCCGTAAGGAATCTGACTCGATAACAGCTATAATAGGAATCTGTAAGAAAAGGGGGGTGTTATAGAAAATCACCCAAAAGGGGGGGGTATAGTACAAACGAGGTCGGCTATAGCACCCCCCCCGCACAAGCTAACCGGGGGTATACTATTACGGGGGGGTGTTTTGTCCGGGAGAATACAGTACAGTCCCGCCCGAACACAAACCCTGTCGCATATCAGAAGTCGTGAGCGGTAACCTTGTCGCAATGTGAATTTCGCTACTTAATTCGGCGGGATTTTCTCACGCCCGTGCCATGGGAAAAATCGCCCTCGGGCCTTGTTTTTTTTCGTTAAACCTGTATTGGCGAACTTCGCATGCCTGAAAACACCTTGGCAAACCCCGAAATATGTATGTACATGTTCTGTACTCGAGTGCATGGCACGTGCTGCACACGAACTAGGCAAGTAAAAAAAGGGTAAGTAGCTTTGGTAGGGGTACTACTAGCGACCCTGCGCTTTGAACGGGACTATATGCCCAGTAGCGGGCACTTTCCACCCCTCCGTGCCTCAAACAGGGAAGTTATAGAAACAGGACAGTACTCTTCCCCACATTCACCCACGTGTCACCAATTTCCATTCCACCTACTGTACTGGACATTCTGACCAACAGTGCGCAACTAGTAAGGAATGGTTGACTATTGGGAAGATTGGGTACAAGTACAAACCCTAGCAATGTGTTGTATCCCATATGTGCGACCCCACTACAGCCTACATCCTAACATTATATATATAGTTTGACACACCCCCATAGGCAAAGTGGGGGAGAACAGAGGGTCACAAGACCAGTTAAGAAATGCAAAGCAAGCTCAGGGTGGATCACAACGTCACCACACACACTGAACACAAGCAAGAGGCCACAAGGCCAGTTTACATGCAAAGATATATATGCAACAAGAATAGCACAGTGATCTCTACCTAGCAGAGCAAGCATGCAGGTATTATATAGATCACAGTACAAGCAAAAGTCTACAACAAGTGAGGAAACGTGGGCACAAGGCCTAACAAGGTGCAGAAACGCTAATGATCACCAGACGGAAGTGCCTTGGTGAATATATCAGCAGTGTTGGCCCGAGTGGCCACGTGAGCAAGACGAAGCTGGCCACGCTACTGCAACTCTCGAGCCAGGAAGTAGCGCAGAGCGATGTGCTTCGTTCTGTGCTCCAGTCGGTGCTCCTCACACAAGGCAATGGCGGCCTTGTTGTCGACGTACAGCACTGGAGGAGAACGAGGCCGCTCTCCCAAATCGGTCAGCAGGTAGGTGAGCCAGCGTAACTCCTGTGCAGCCATGGCTGTGGCGTAGATCTCATCCTCACAACTGGAGCTGAGAACTGAAGACGAGCGTGTAGAACGCCAAGAAACTGAACCAGAGCCAAGGCTGAAGGTGTAACCCTGTGACGACCGCTGCGTAGCCTAGTCGTCAACCCAAGAAGCGTCCGAGTGAACAGTGAGGACAACGTCGCCCCGTCCTCCAAGCACGAGCCTCATGCCCGATGTACTGCACAAGTAGCGCAGTACCCTCTTAGCAGCATCCATGTGCACCTTTCGGTGCCGACCAGGAGCCACGTAACGAGCCAGAAGGCCAAGAGGGTACGCGAGGCCAGGACGAGTGCAGGTCATCAGGTACATGAGGCAGCCAACTAGCTCTGGGTAAGGACCACTCGGCTCTACGGACTCGTCCGAAGGTGGAGCTGAGAGCGAGTGACCTGTAGCCAGAGGAGTGGCCTGTGCCGAGGACCAGGTGAAGCCGAAGCGCTGAAGGACCTGCTGCACCATGTGTGACTGAGTCAGGGTAATGGTGCGGCGTGCTCTGTCCCGGGTGATCTGCAAGCCAAGGTAACTGCGCAGCTCACCCAGGTCTGTGCACGTGTGTCTCCTCTGCAGCTCCGACTTCACCAGGGCGAGAGCCTCAGTGTCAGCAGTGGCAAAGACCAAGTCGTCGACGTACACGAGGATGTAGAACGTCGGCAGCGAAGTGTCGGTGCGCAGAAACAGCGAGGGGTCAGCAGTCGACGGAGTAAACACAAGAGCTGCAAGTGTCGTCCTCAGTGTGTCGTGCCACTCACTTGGCGCCTGGCAGAGACCGTAGACCGGCCGCCGGAGGCTCCACTGGGTACCAGGAGGGAACGACCCAGTGAAGCCAGGCGGGCGGCGCAGCCAGATCTCCTCGTGCAGGCTGCCCTGTAAGAACGCTGTGCTGAAGTTAAGAGAGTGAAGCTCGTAGTCACGCTGAGCGGCAACGTGCAGCAGCACCCGAAGAGTGGTCATCTTCGGGGTTGGGGAGAAGGTCTGGAAGAAGTCAACTCCCTCTCGCTGACTGAAGTCTCGAGCAACGTAACGAGCCTTGAAGACAGGCGGAGAACCTGGCGGCCGCTTCACCCTGAAAATCCACATGCCAATGACGATGTTCGCCCCGGGAGGGGGAACCTCATCGACGTACGTGCCTGTGGACTTCCAGGATGCCATCTCTGCGTCCATGGCTGTCTGCCACTGAGAAGAGTACTCACCCGCGATCGCCTCAGCGTAAGAGCGCGGGGTCGTGATGTCTGGTGCATCCGGGTCTCCCTCAGGGGCAAGCAGCATGGCCACGAGATGAGGCAGATTTGGCCGCGGGTTTTATATTTTTTGCCCGCGGTCCGATTGGTTTCGATTTGGCAGAAGGGACAAAAGTCTGTTGCGCACAGTTGGTCAGAATGTCCAGTACAGTGGGTGGCATGGAAATTGGTGACACGTGGGTGAATGTGGGGAAGAGTACTGTCCTGTTTCTATAACTTCACTGTCTGAGGCACGGAGGGGTGGAAAGTGCCCGCTACTGGCACTGTAGTCCCCTTCAAAGCGCAGGGTGGTTAGTAGTACCCCTGCCAAAGCTACTTACCCTAAAAAAAATCGTTGCCAGAAACGAATCCAGAAGTGACTGTCTGTTCGGCTCGTAAAATGCACATGTTACAGAATGTTTTCGAGTAACAGGACCGCAAAGTGAATGACTTCCGCCAAGCAAGACACGCCTTAAGGACTAGGTGAAAGTAGACGATCGATCGTCAGTCGCGATCGATGTGCGGATCGGTTACCTTATTTATTACGCTGTGACTATGCTATAGTAAGTTTTTTTTTGCCAAAATTTCTGTACAGTGTGCGAATGCGACTGATCACTGATCGCGGGAGATCTGTTAATTCTAAAGGGGTGATCGTTACAACGTCGCGTTCGCCACGTTTCGCCAATCGATCTGCCCACTCGATTGTGGGGCTCGATATTTGCAGACGATCCTGCGATATTTGCACTTGCACCGCGTCCTAACTTATGCCAAGAGCTGGTGTAAGGACGTGTCTCAAATGTGCGGGTCCACGTCAGTCCGACGCGGACCCGGCGGACCAGCTCTAGAACCACACAGTGAACCAGCGACGGACTGGACCGAGATGCGGGACTTCTAACCACGTTCGAATTGCACTATAGCGGTGCCATTGATTTGGTCGCCAGACCAGCCCGCGCCTGGTCCGCAACTGTAGCAGCTCTCACTTTGTTTGCGGAACTCTCGCCGTTCGTGACTATCGCTCCTGACGGGATGGGGAGTTTTTACCAGCAAAAAGTATGAGGTAACTAGATTTCAACATGACTGATTCGCGTCGTTAGTGTTTCTTTTCGCTGCGGAGAATTCTATTCTACGGGAGAGCTCGACTAGCGTGGGACACACGGTCAGCGTTCTGGCAGTGATTCTTAGAAGTTAACTTAGTTGCCTTGGTAGATTTCAAGCTTAGTTCCACTAACAAAAGTTGATAGAACAAGAATATGGTACAAGCAAGGAGAACCAAATAGCGAAGACAATGAACGCTGTAGAAACGTTCAGCAACGTTAGGTGAAACGACAAACACATGCATATTTCACATGAGTTGGTAGTTGCTCAGGTTTACAACGTTCATAGTTGTGCACGTTTTTACTGTTAGTAAAAAAGTGTTTAAAGCTGTCGCCTACATACCTCCAGCGGGAGGCCTAGGTTTATCACTTGAAAACACGGTTGCACTGAGCTTCGCTCCAACCTTGAGTGGCGAGGTGGAGTTACTGCACCCTGACTGCACAACCTTTCTTCTGAAAATTGGGCGAAACAGGATTGGCTTCTAAATTTCGCGCCATTCTGCTCCCAACTCGGATTGGTTGCACGTGTTGGCAAAATAGCCAACACAACCCAATCCTCCCGAAATAATTAGGGCGCGTCACAACTGAAACACCGACCCTGCACAAAATCGGTGTTTCGCGGCTACAATGCATTCACGACGTCGTTAAGTGCTAGTTACCTGTTTTCGTCATTCGTCGCTAATGTACAGTTGTCCCCTCAGAGTCGGGCGATCGATGTGCCCTTGTCACACATCGATCGTGCAATTTCGTCCACATCGGGCAATTTTGCCCCATGATTTTCCTATCGTGTCACTTGGGGCTTGCGGTGGGCACGCGATTGCAAAAAATCAGTCGTGGCACACCGATGTGGCGATCGATTTGGCAGGATCGTGAACATCCCCGATCCTTCCTCGGTTTTTTACTTGTGACGCGTCCTTACCCCCCAACCGAACCTTTCACGAAACTGGCGGGATTCGCCAGTTCTGTTTGAAACATTCGCGCGCTCATTTCTTGAAAAGAGTCATTTCGTTCCCCAATCAGCATGCGTCCTAGGGTGTGCACCCAAAATACCCCCCAAAAATACATTTTCGTATGTAGACCGCAGCTTTAAGGCAATGTGGGCAGACCCAACAGTCACTTTGCCAATTATTTGCGCCAAAGTTTTCATGTTTGTTCTTGTGCACCAGTCGCGTCGTCTCCTGTCAATGTGTAACCTGCCCGCAATTTTACTGGTACGTTCGTGGCTGGTCGCCTCGGCTGGTTGGAAGTGGTCGGGACCATACGGTTGCATAGACCACCTGGTCGCCTCGACGAGGTGTGAGATTGCTCTGGTACACACGTCCACTACTGTAGACTGTACAGCATAGGGTAATCTGGTAACCCTTCTGGTCTACCCAACCCAGCCGTTCGAGACAACCCGACCACCCCCCAAAAAGAAGGGTACGTAGCACGCTCTAAAGGTCGGAGTATTTGATTCTTGTTCACACGTGGCTTCTCTGCGATCGCTGTGGCTTTCTACGTCGCCGCCATGAACGCTAAGCCGTCTCGTATTAGCGCGATTACTCTTAGAGCATGCAGCTCTAGGAATGCGACAGGAGTTGCACCTTATCGTTTGGAGCCAAGTGCGTGAGGGGCTGCCGTTCATGATAGCCCTCCCACCAGCTTTACCAGATCGCCGTTCTAGATATTCTGAAGCTGAACGCCTGGAAGCTTCTCGCGGCTACACACAACGGATAGTCATATAAGACGTTTTTGAGAAGCTCATAGCGACGTAGGATCATCTCGTTCATGATCTAAGATCTTCCCATGTGTCAAGCATACACGCGACTTCTCTCCCATCTGACGCCGATCCCGAATAAATGCTGCCGCTCGCTACAGACTGACTTGCGCATCCTGCTTCTTCGAAACTGCTCAACTCTAAATTGGTCGTCAGAGGCCCGCCTTCAAATCTCTTCTATGGATCTGGATGGCGGCGTGACTTGTACCGTCGCCAGCCAGCACGGGCATTGGCGCTCATCCCTTCGCATGCAAAGCCCTATGGGACAACATCAGGCCCTTCCGATCTTTGGATTTTAGCCGCGTTATGCCAGCGGGCGTTCGGTTTCGGGAGCTTTCGGGCGGCCAACTGATGGCTAAGGTGCAGGAGTTATCATGTGGATAGCCCAATTGGGGGTCAAGTCCCCCATCCACCGGGTTTGGTATCTATTTCCCTTTCACCGAGCTGCCACGCCAGTGGTACGGAAACCGCGAAGGATCCGCAAGCTGCTGCAGGAATGAGAGGTCTTATAGCTTCAAGAGCGACCTTATCAAGCCAGCGCATTCAGTACATTAATGTAGACGCCAGCGGCGGTAGTAGTCGTTTTCTTTGTGATGGATCAGGGACGGTCAGGGGCGACGGGCCCTGCTCGTGGAGGGTTGGAGAGGTATGGCCAAATTGAGAGGAGGCATAGTCCTCTTGAGAGTTATTCGAGGGGGAATAGCCCTCTTGAGAGGTATGGGCAAGAGGAGCCTCGATGGAACGCGCAGGTCCTATCGCGAGCTACTACTGCAACCAACGTCTCGACTCAGGACACAAGGGGAAATCCTCATTTTCTGAGTCAAGATTCACGTGCAATTGCGGCGGGACATAGCGGTCCCTCCCCTTCTGCGTTGGAGCTCGGAGCATTGAGGCGGAGGCCTTCTGAAGGCCAGCGCGAGTCCAGCGGGGGGCGGAAGCGGAAGAGGTCGCGCGGAGATCCGCTGCTGAGCAAGGGGGAGATCAAGGCGGCGGCTGCTAGCGATGATGACGAGGCTCTTGCTGCTCGCCTGATCGCGGGGAAGCTTCTTCCCTCCCCGTCGGCCTCTTTCACAGGTGACTGCTTCTGTACCTCTTGGTCTACTCCCCTTGAGGGCCAACAGAAATGCGGAAGATTGCAAATTTTGCATGCTTTCAGTCTGTCCGCGAATCCCTTTTAAGAATCCGCTTTCTGCATGTCTGCGTGCTTTCTTATCTCTAATGCAACTCTTTCTGTCCTTCTTTCTATGCTTTCACAACGATTCGCCCGTGCAGGAGCGGTGCAAGCCATCATCCATAAAGCACGCCTTTCTGCAGCCTCAGAACATCCATTCGACCCCCTCGGCCCCCCTCCAACTGCGCTCGCCTCTTTCCCTCCCTCCTTATTTCCCAGCTCCTCTCATGCAACGGCTGCTCATCTCTCCTCTTCGTCCCAGCTTCCTGTGCCTGAACGAAGCTCTTTAAATTCGCTTCCCCTTCTCGCGCGAGGCACCAGTCCTATGGATCGTTTTACCCAGGATCAATCGTCCAGCTATCTGAATCGACTGTGTGGGGGATTTTCAGTGCAATCTTCCAGCCATACGGACCCCGTTTCAAGGAATCTTCCTGTGCAATCGTCTGGCCATGGGGACCCTTTTACCAGAGACCTTCCTGTGCAAGCTTCCAGTCACATGGGCCCCTTTACCAGAAATCCTCCTGGCCTATCCAGCCATACGGACCCCTTTTCCAGGAAGCTTTCTTTGCAGTCATCCGGTGTTACCGACGCGTTCACCAGAAATCTTTCTGGGCGATCTTCTGGTCTCGCAGACCTTTTTTCCAGGAACCTTCTTGTGCAGTCACCCAGGCACGTGGACCCTTTTACCAGGAACTTTCCGGTGCAGTCTTCCAGCCTGATTGACCCTATCATCAGGAACCTACCTGCGGAAACTTCTGGGCGTATGGACCTTTTTACAAGGAACCTTCCAGTGTATTCCAGCCACAGTGACCAGTTTCCTGGGAATGTACCACCTTTGAGCCATACCGGCCTCCCCACTGGAAATCTCCCTATCCAATCATCCGGCTACATGCAATCATCCAGCCACATGCAACTAATTACCAAAATGCAACTATCGAGCCACCTGGTGTCATCGGGCCTCGCGGGCTTCAAGCCTCCCGTCAATGAGGCGCCTTCCACTTGCGTGGATCCGGCTCGTTCGTTTTTTTCTCTGGAGGATGAGCTCCGGAAGCTACAGGCAGCGGGACCCAGATTGCCGTCCACATATGAGTGCAAGGAGTGTGGGAGGACGTTCTCCCTGCCTCAGTCTCTGGGCGGACATATGTCGAGGCATAGGCGAGGTATTCTAGCTGCTGCTTCAGCTCTAGCTCACAGCAATTCCTATCGCATGCCCTGTTGAGAGTGTCGGTGCAAATTCTGGATTTTTGATGTGATTGTCTCTGATTCGCAGAGGAGAGGCTGAAGCTAATGGACAAAGCAAAGGCGGAGGCCGATACTCACGAGGTCGCAGAAAGCCTGTGTGATCTGCAGAAAGCAGCACCGGAGAATTCTGGCATTGCTGAATGTGCTGCAGATGCTCCTGGCCAGGAGAAATGGAGCGCCTCGTCAATGGGAAAGTGTTGAATTATATTGCATATCTTATAACTGCCTACAGCTAGCTAGTGTACTAGATTAGGTATTAGCATCAACTGCTGGTGGTGTACCCTCCCTTTTGCCCATTCCTATATCTTGTATTCATTCCATATTGAAACTCCTCTTTTGGCCAAACTTCTCCCTCCATGATTCTCTTTGCTAAACCTCTCCTAAACCTAAGTACTGCATAATCTCCTAATCTTAACAGAAAGGCAGTTGATATCCCTTGGAAGGGCGATCAGCAGCAGCTGCTGCCTTTTGAAGCAGGCATGCAATCTCAGCAGCATCAGCAGCATCAGCAGAAGCAGCAGCATCAGCAGCAGCATCAGCGAAAGCAGCATCAGCAGCATCAGCAGCAGCAGCATCAACAGCAGCAGCAGCAGCTACCGTTGGATCGAAAGGTGTTTCACCATCGATTCACCATGCTGCCGGACCGTGTCCTGCTGCCTCCTGCCTCACCTCTGGTAGACCCTCTCTCACAGCCGCGTGAAAATGAGCTTTGTTTCACTTCTGCCCACCAGCAGCGGCAGCAGCAGCAGCATGAGAAGAAAAAGTGTTCAGGACCAGCCCTGCTGTTTTCGCCTCCTGCATCGCCCCCTTTGGATAATGTGACTCAGCAGCATGAGGCTGAGAGTGAAAATTCTCCTGATCCTGTTCCACACCAGCAGCATGTTTTGAATGATGTGAGCGGCGTTCCCGCAACAAGGGAGGTTGCAAGGTCGTGGCCTCCAATTGTACAGATTCAGAACTACAATCATGGAACTACACACACCACTCCAACTCGCTCGCGCGTTTTGGAGTTTGACTTGAATTTTGCTCCGTCAGATAATGAGGAGCCCTAGGTTGGGGAGTGCAGTCTACAGACGAGCGGTCTTGGGCTGTAAGCTGTGCATGCGTTTGCATGTATTTTCTCCTCTTATGAGGGGCGGTTGAGTGCAATAATATGTACATTAGTATGCTTTTGTTTGGCTTTGGTGACAGCTGTATCAGGATTCACTAGTGGGTTTTTATAGTGAAGAGTTTAAAACATACTCTTTTCTCAGCTGGAACGACTTCGAAAGAACGATATCACAATGTACCGTACAGAACTCCTTTGCACTCACCACCTCTGGCCTCAGCTGGCAGCCACACCCCCACCACATGCCCACAACCTGACGCCCAATGTTGGCCTCTGGTAATTCAGCGAGATCGCTCGCGACGTGATGTCGCCACATTATGACCGTCGATCTCGTCATCTGGAAGCATCTGCGAAGCATATTGTCAATTCGATCATTGACGAAACATATCTGGAAGAGAAAGCATTTGTGGTGCGCCTCGATCGCGTTGTCCACATGCAACGCGACGGAGCAAACGAGCTGGTGTCACTCCAGCCGACCCAATCGATCACATTTCACATCACACACCACTAATCGCTTCGCTCCGCTTCGCACTTCTTCCAAATCGCCCCCATTGAATCCCATGAGCTCTCCACCATGCTTGCAGCACGACGCATGTTGCTGCGGTTTCTTTGCCTCCTCCTGCCCTATCCTATCCTATCCTAGCTACCACGTATGCTTGCTCCTTCACGGGTTCTACTCATCCGTGTCACTGCCGTTCTCCTTAGCGTCCGACAGACGGAATTCCGAACGTTTCCCTTGAAACATCCGGTAACAGACAAACTCACGCCGAACGTTCTTCCTCTTATTCAGTTTGTCCCGGTGATCCAGTTTTTCACCCTGCGACCTGCCCACGAGTCTTAGGTCGCAACTTGCGACTGGGCGAGGCGACGCGACCTCACGCCGTTACGTGTAGACGATTGCCACGTATTCGTTGTCTAAATTTCTTCGGCTGCTCCCATTGACTATTTAGAGGATGTGATAGCTTCTCGAATGCACTGTACGGTGGCGAATGCCTATCTGATTTTGAGTCGACTAAAAAACACAAGCGACCTCAGCGGGCTTTGAGGACTTCTTTAACAATTTCGTATATTATATTAATTTCTGAGTATTCTGTCTATATCGTACCGGGAAGCATCGACACTGGACTGCCCACAGATATCGCGGATTGCTACCCTGTTGATCATTAGTAGCCAGTGATCCGAACGAATTTTGCCTTCGAAATAATAGGCTCGACCTCGTTGTACCGGGCTTGTCCTACTGACCCGCCGAACGCACTACTAGTCCAAAATGGAACGTTTGTAGCCACAGATTCGGTGTCTAGCGGCGGTCGCAGCTATCATGGCCACGAGCCAGCCAGCGCAGACAGCTGCTGCTGCAGCATTAGCCGCAGTATCTCCAGTAGCAGCAGCGGCAGCAGCAGCAGCAACATTTCCAGCAGCGGCGGAGCAGCTTGACGCCGCGGACGATTTTCTGGACTCAGCCCGCGGATCTTGGACGCCCGAGGTGCGTTCCCGCAACTAAACGCTTTCACTGATCAACAGGCAATCTTCAAGGCACCCCTTTATCACAACTAAACGCTTCAGTTCCCCTTTCTCACTCTCCCCTTCCCTCTTTCTTCCCTTTCCCCCACTCCTTACTCGTTACCCCAACAACAGGAGGACGCAATCTTGCGGCGTGTGGTGTCGAAGCTAGGCGCGCACTGGGCACCCATTGACACGCTGCCACTGCTATAAAGTCAATGGCTGGCCCCATGTTTCCTACACTCCGTGTCCGCTCCTTCTCTCCCCCCTTCCCCCCACAACAACAGGAGGACCAGATCTTGCTGCGGATGGTGCGGAAGCTGGGCGCCAGCCGTTGACAAGCGGCTCTAGAGTTTATCCAAATATTCCGTCCCCCCACTCCCGATTCGGTCCCCCCACAACAACAGGAGGACCAGATCTTGCTGCGGATGGTGCGGAAGCTAGGCGGGCGGCACTGGAACAAGGTCGCGGAGAAGGTTCCGGGAAGGAGCGCCAAGAGCTGCCGGCTGCGGTGGTGCAACCAGCTGGACCCAACTGTGAAGCGCGGTGCTTTTAGCGAAGAGGAGGATGTGATTCTAGCGGAGGCGCACGCGCGGCACGGGAATAAGTGGGCGCGGATCGCGAGGTATCTGCCTGGGCGCACGGACAACGCGATTAAGAACCACTGGAACTCCACTCTTAGACGGAAACGGCTGGGTGGCGAGCCTGCTGGTGCTGCTGATGGTGGTGCTACTGAACTGGTCGCGAGGTACCTCCCTGGGCGCACGGACAACGCGATTAAGAACCACTGGAACTCGACGCTTAGACGGAAACGGGTGGGTGGTGGGACTGGCGGTGCTGCTGCTGAGGCGTGCAAGGAAGAGGTCAACGCGATTACGGACCACTGGAGCTCCACCCTTAGACGGAAACGGCTGGGTGGTGGGGCGATTTGCGAGGCACGTAGGAAAGAGGACATTGGGGTTGAGGACCATTGGAACTCCACACTTAGACAGAAAGGAGTGGCTGCTGGGACTGGCGGTGGTGTTGCTGTTGCTGCTTCTAATGGGTACAATGCTGCAGCTGCAGCAGCTGAAACGGACGGAAAAGGTCTTCAGCTACTGCAGGAGAGAAGAGAAGCTAAGAGGAGGAAGATGGAGAGGAGCCATGGGTCTCAAAAGCTGGAGAGTGGGTCTGCATATGCTCCTGCCGTTGAAGTGATTCAAAGCCCTCAAGATGAAGGTGATTGTGAGGAGTGGTGGAAACCAAAGGAAGAGGCGCAGCAGCAGCAGCAGCAGCAGCAGCAGCAATCGCTGGTGACGCTGCTAGCCAGCTCGAGCGCACCACAAATATGGGACTCGTTTGAACGCGCATTGGGGATAGGCGACGGCAGTGGCCGTGACCAGGAGGCTGTCAATAACGCGTATAGGTTTCCCAGCAGCTTTGAGGAGCTCGAGACTGGCTCAAGTGCAATGCAAGAGATGGTCAGAGGACGGTTGGAGGAATCCAGGCGGGTGGAGGAACAGAAGGGCGGGCTGAGAAGAGGGTGGGAGGAGGGGCAAGAGGGAGGCTGGGAGGGTGAAGGTAAGAGCGCATGGAAGGGAAAGAAGACGAGCAGGAGGAGGAGGAGGAAGGAAGATGCTGCAAAGGAATCGTCGTCGTCAGCTATCATGACTCTCGCGCTCCTCCTCTCCCGCATCCTCACGAAATCCGATCGCCCTCTCGACAGCGCTTCTATGTCCAAGCTTCCCCTGGCTGTCCCTCCTTCCACGGCTGCTGCTGCTGCTGCTGCTGCTGGCAACACTAATGCCATTGCTACCTGCTCCTCGCCTCCCTCTCCTGTCCACTGCTCCTCTCCAACCCCATCCGCTATGCCCCCCATTGGCTCTCCACACGCCACTCCACCCGCTTCTCCTCATGCCCCAGCACAACCCCCTTCGCCTGATTTGGCTTCCCTTCTCGCCCTCCTCCATCCCCTCATGCCTTCCCAATCCGCGCCCCCCTCTGCTCCTCCCCTTGCTCCGCCACCTGCCTTCCGACAACCTTCCTCTGAGTTTGTTAGCAGACAGGAAGACTTGTATCAAGAGAATAGGGAACATAGGGACTACCATTATGATAACCATTGGCATCAGCAGCAAGCCGAAGAGCAAGCGGAGCAGCTGGAGCCGAAAGTGCAGCCGCCACCGCAGCAAGTGCAGCAACAAGTGCAGCAGAAGCAGCATGAGCAGCATGAGCTGCAAGTGCAACGCAGGCACAGCCAGCGCTATTTAATCACTGAGCTCGAGGCTGACCTTGGCCTGTCCCCATCCGACTTCAGACACTCCCCAACCGACTTCAGACACTCCCCAACCGACTTCAGACACTCCCCAACCGACTTCAGACACTCCCCAACCGACTTCAGACACTCCCCAACCGACTTCAGACACTCCCCAACCGACCTCCGCCCCTCTCCGGCCGAACTTCACCACTCTCCATCCGACCTCACCCTTCCACCTTCCAGCGTTGAACTTCTACCAACCACGCTCGACCTTCCACTCGCTGATATGCCCTTTGAAGTTCCAACGTTAGGCTTCACGTGCCAAGTAGTGAGCGATGAGGAGGACCACTGTACTGCGGTTGCGATGGGTGTAGAGGGGTTTGGTCTTGAGGCAGCACAAAACCAGTGTGATGTAGGTCGGTTGGGTAAAGAGGGGTTGGAAGCGGTGCAGCCAGTGGGAAGTGTAGTTGGGGAGGTTTCGGCAAATAGAGCGGGTACGGTAGAGAGCGAGCATGAGGAGTGTGAGTGTGAGGAGTGTGCTTGTAACGAGGAGAATGAGATAGAGCTGCCTGAGGAGGGTGAGAAGCGTGGCCTTGATGCTGTGTCGGGTGACAAGGAGTATGACAATGCCAGGCGTGACAATGGCGGGTGTGACTATGACCCAGACTGGGCAGATGTAATGGAGGGCGTGGATCTGCTGCCAGACAAGCTGCCAGAGGAAATCAACGGTGCTACTGATGATGATGATGAGCAGTTGGTTCCCATGGCACAAATTGCAAAGACTTGTTCCCTGCGAAGCTGCGGTGGGGAGCAACTTAGCCCTGACACCAGCTGCGCGAGTCAAGTGCCCCCCGAAAAGGTAAGCTGTCTGCTGCAGCAGGTGAACTGCCTGGTGACGTTTGAGTCGACTCACAAGTCACCTAGCCGTGCCACCAACAACACCAGCTGCACCAGTCAACTGTCCCCTGAGAAGGTAAGCTGTCTACTGCAGCAGGTGGACTGCCTGCTGGCTGTGCTGCGAGCTGCCAAGAGCTCCCCCTCTACCCGCTTATCCCCTCTAGCCACCTGCCACCAGTAGCCATGGCCCACGGCACCTGGAAGCTCCAAAAGGATTATTATCTGTGACTTTTGAGTTGCGCCAAGAGCCTTTTGATGAAGGATCTGCTGTGCCAGGTGGGCTGCTGCTGGCTGTGATGCATTCAGCCAGAAGCTCCGCTACTTGCTGCGTACTACCCCATTTTTGAGGCGCCTCAAAAGCCACAAGCTCCTCTTCTTGCTGGCTATTGCCTCTTGTACAAGTCGTAAAGCCACTGGCTGGACCTTTTTGTATTGTGTCGAAAGGATAGAATGAGAAGAACCTGTTACAACTACATACAAAAACGCAGCACAGGTTACCACCTCTCCTCTTGCGAGCTGGAAACTGGTGGAAGCTGCGTTTTGTCTTCTAGTAAAACTGTTAAACAGTTCATACCCTGCCTTGCTGTGTCACATCACAACTTGGGCGGGTGCTGTTGGCCGGCGGAATCTACTATTTGCAAGCACTTCTGAATGACGCCGCCCGGAATCAGATTCACGTTCCACAGCTTGACTAGATAAAGCATGAAGCACCTGTTGTGGGGAAAGGTGGAGAGTGAGCGGGGAGGGGAAGGGGGAGGAGGGAGGGGAAGTGGGATGGGGAGACAGGGGGGGGGAGAAGGGGAAGACAAGGTGTCAGCCACACAGGCAGTTATGGAGAATTTTTTATTCATGTTTTAGTTTATATTTCTATTGTAAAAGTTGGTTTTACTTCTATTTTAAATATTTTATTTCATAATTTTTGTTCTAATTTAGCCACTTAGAATAAAGCAGCGTATACAGGGGAATGGAGGCAAGGATGGCGAATGACAAGACAAGGGGCCATGGAATCAAGTGGAGTGAGAAAAGGGGAGTGGAAATCTTTTGAGGCGCCTCAAAAGTGGAAGGAGGGAGCATGGAAATTGGTGGAGAGAGAGAAGGGCTGGCGGCACTCACATGCGAGTGCATGGGGAGGAGGAGAGGAACTCCTTATGTCACGTGCCACTGTAACAATGTGACTACTGTGACAACTCAGACAAAAAAAAGGGCAGTGGCACTTACATGCGAGTGCATGGGGAGGAGGAGAGGAAGTCCTTATGTGTGATGGCGAAGGCCTCACACGCCCACGGCACATGCCTGTCTGCAATTACCCTGATAGGAAAAGGCAAGCACAATCAGAGACAGAAGTGTGTGATAAGTCGATTTTTGAGTCGACTCAAAAATCGCATTCCCTGATAGGAAAAGGCAAGCACAATCAGAGACAGAAGGAGACGATTAGATGCACATGCGTGTGGGTCGCACAGTCATGTCCGCCACTCAGCACAACCCACACACAGCAACCCCTCAACTCCATTAGCCAGTCGACCGCAAGCAGCACCCACCAACCGCCCACCTGTGGCGGCGCACAAACGCCATCCAGCGATGCATGATGCCCTGTGAGTCAAGTCAAAAGGCTTCCACACTCCACACTCCCACACACCCAACCCAACCCTTTCAACCCCTTACCCCCACACAGCAACCCCCGCTCACCTGTGGCGGCGCACAAACGCCATCCAGCGGTGCATGATGCCCTGTGAGTCAAGTCAAAAGGCTTCCACACTCCACACTCCCACACACCCAACCCAACCCTTTCAACCCCTTACCCCCACACAGCAACCCCCGCTCACCTGTGGCGGCGCACAAACGCCATCCAGCGGTGCATGATGCCCTTCTCCTCTCCCAACACGTCCTCAAACTCGCCCAGCAACTGCTTGCATAAGAGGCAGCATAGGAAGACAGGCGCACTAGAAACATGCCACTCGCTCAACCACACCCTAACCCCTCACCTGTGGCGGCGCACAAACGCCATCCAGCGGTGCATAATGCCCTTCTCCTCTCCCAACACGTCCTCAAACTCGCCCAGCAACTGCCGCGGCGGGCGAGGGAGAATAGATAAAGAGGGGCACTAGAAGAGGGCGGTAAGGGGTGTGCACTGTGCAGGAAAAGACGGGGCGTAAGAAGAGGTAGAGGAGGGGTAGGGGGAAGAGGGAAAGGTGCAAGAAAGGGTAGATGAAGGGTAGGGGAAAGAGGGAGGGGTGCAAGGAGGGGTAGAAGAGGGGTAGGGGAACGGAACGAGGGAGGGGTGCAAGAAGAGTACATGAGCTGTCCATACGAGGCCTCTGCCAACCCCCACTCCCCACCGCACCTTCCAATCAGCACCACTCCAACCCCGCCATTCCCCACCCCCCACCCTCCTCCACGCCCCACCCTCCCCCACCCGCCCCCATCCCCCACTCGCTCCCATTCCTCACCGCACCTTTCGGTCGGCATACGAGGCGGCAGCTTCGTCCCACTCGTCCTCGCTGTCTGCATCCTGCACCATCTCCTGCGCCGTGATTGGCTGGCTTGGGGAGATACGGGAAACACGCAAGGGACAGGGAAAGGCAAGCGATAGGACAAGAAGTGGCAATAGGTTAGTCCCAAGAGCCGCCGTCCAAGAGAACGCAAGCTGCAGTTGTTGCGAGCGGGAGTACGTTCAAGGGAGCCCCATCCAGGAGCCATGACTTTACGTGGCAGCAGCTTTTAGCAAAAAGATTGGTTTGTTTTGCGTAAGCTTGCTTGAAAAATCCATTGTACAGGAAACGTTGGCGGTAACCAGTTTCGGCTCTTCGAGGCTTCTTCAGACAAGAAGTGGCAAGAAGTGACAAGAAGTGGTTAAGTCACGAGCCGCCGTCTAAGAGAACGCAAGCTGCTGATGTTGCAAGCGGGAAAAGGTTTCGGACTTGACTGGAAGAGGGGGAGGGAAGGGGGGGAAGGTGGGGGGGGGGGGGGGCACTTGACTGGAAGAGAGGAGTTGCCGGCCGACGGAGCTGCTACGTGGTGACTGACAAGTCGAGTCAGGAGCCCTTACGCACCTGCCATCGCTGCGAGTGGTAGAAGGTTCTCTGCAGGAGCCCTGACGACCTGCATTCAGCGAGTGGGGAGGGGTGGTGAGTGGGGGAGGAGTGGTGATTGAGTGGAGGGAGGTGGTGAGTGGGGAGGATTAATGAGTGGGAAGCGGTGGTGAGTGGGGAGGGGGTGTGAGAAGAAAGGACGCACATCTATGCTGTCTGTGGAACTGGGTTCACTACATATCATGTTTGCGGCAATTATGGTAAGAAATGGCACAGCATGGCTCTTGGGTCGACCCAAAAGCCTGTGGATCTGGGTTCACAGACATAAAAAGTTCGTGGCAATTATGCTATGGCACAGCATGGGTCACACCCACCATGCATGCACCCACCCACCATTTCCTGCAGACCTCCTCCCTTGCCTCCTCTTCAGCCCGCTCAAATCGACGCTCTGACAACAAGCAGGTCGGGGTGGAGTGATGAGTTGGGGGGAAATGAAGAAAGTGAGTGTGGTGAGAGACGATTTAACATGGATTGGGTGAGACAGAGAGGAGGGTGGGGCAGGAAGTAGGGAGAGGATGATGGGAGGAAGAGGGGCGGTGGGATCGTAACCAAAGGTGAGAGAGTGCTGTGCGGTGGGAGAGACAGAGAGGAGGAGGTGGTGCCAGAGGGATGCAGGAAACACAGAGGTTGGTTTCTTTTTCATCACATGCAGCAGTTCAGCCACGAGATATTAGTGTGCTTTTCAGAAGTCTCAAGAACAAAAACACGCTTATTTCACGTTTCATCGCGTGCAGCAGTTCAGCCCGTTGTGACGCCTTTGCATCTCCCTCGTAGTTTTCCTCCCCTCGCATTCTTCCCTCACATTCTTCCCTCACATTCTCCCCTAATTCTCCCTTCCTTTTCTTCCATACACCTTCTCTACCAGTACCAATGTGCAACCCACCTGATAAAAGTGATGTTTTGAGACGTCTCAAAACATCTCTACCGATACCAATGTGCAACCCACCTGATAAAAGTGATGTTTTGAGACGTCTCAAAACATCTCTACCGATACCAATGTGCAACCCACCTGATAAAAGTGATGTTTTGAGACGTCTCAAAACATCTCTACCGATACCAATGTGCAACCCACCTCTGTCTCTTGAAGCCTTCGCTTCCGCCCGCATCTCCTCAGCAATCCTTTGAGCCACCTCCAATGACATTTCTACTCTCTTCTTCTCCTCCACTGCCTCCACTTTCCCCTCTGCCTTCTCCTTCCCCTTTTTCTTCTCCTTCTCCTCTCTCTTCCCCTTCCTTTCTCCCCTCTCCTCCTCCTTTGCTCCCTCCTCCTCTGTCCCCTTCTCTTTTAATACCCCCCCACCCCCAAAATCTACTCTTTCTTTTCCTTTTGCTCCCCCTGCTGCTGCTGCTCCTGCTCCTTCTGCTGCTGCTGCTGCTCCTGCTCCTTCTGCTGCTGCTGCTGCTCCTGCTCCTTCTGCTGCTGCTGCTGCTCCAGCTGCAGCAACACAAACATCACCTGCAGCAGCCCCACCATCCTTTTCACCACCCACACAAGCGCCACTGGCATCCTCACCATTGCGATTATCTCTGGCAGTGATGGCATCATTATCATCATAATCATCGTTATCAACACCCCATACACCATTGCCATTAGCCCTGGCACCACCAGCACACGGGGAATCCTCCCCACGTCCCTCCCTCGCTCGCATGATGCAAGGTGTTTCCTCACATCCCTCATCCCTCCCACATCCCTCCCCACGTCCCTCCCTTGCTCGCATGATGCAAGGCGCTTCCTCCTCGCCCACACGCTGCTGCTGCTGCCGCTGCTTTCCTCTGCCTCCTGCTCGCTTGTTGCGATGCCTGATGTTGAGAGCAAGTGGTTCAAAAAGGGGATATAAGTGGTAACTGAGAGAATAGTAACAAAGAGTGGTAACTCAAGAGTTTGAGAACGATTTGAGTGCGGAATCGGAGCAACCGCACCAGCTGCACCAAGGGTTAAAAGGTGAACGACCCTCCAACCCTTCCCATCCTTCCCACCCCTCCCGAACCTCCCAACCCTCTCGGCCATCCCCACCCTCTCGACCCCCCCTCACCCCTCCCAAACCCTCCCAACCCCGGCACTTCTCCGTCCCACCCCTGCCACCCTCCATGCCACTGCAAACACAGGCATCCTCTTGAACGGTCCTTCGTATTGATAGCATCCTATCTCTCTCTCACCAGAAGAATGGTGGGCCTTTGGCTTGCTGCCGATGAACTGATGCCGATGCCGTGACTGCTGGGCTCTCCAGATCCTGCAGACGAAAACGGATCGACAATTTTACTGCGTTGGCACAAAAATCTCGTGCTCGTGCTGCTCGTGCTCAAATGTGCATCTATCTGCTTGGGCCAGCGCATGTGGTTACCAGCTGAGGCCAGCGCATGTGGTTACCAGCTGAGGCCAGCGCATGTGGTTACCAGCTGAGGCTTGCAGGTGACGTAGACGACTGGCAATGGCTGCTGGAGCTGAGAGGATCAAGGGGAAGGGAGGGAGGGGAAATGGGAAAGGAGGTGGGCATTCAGTTTGAGCATGATCCTTAAGTAGTTGACTAGAAAAAGAGGAAATGGGGAGGGAGAGGGGAAAGTAGGGGAGGGAGACAGGAAAATTTATGAAGACGACTTCTGAGGCGCCTTCTAAAGCATGATGGGTGAATCGTGGAATGAGGGCGATGGGATGGGAGGGATTTTGAGTTGACTCGAAATTTAATATGAGGGCGATGGGAGGGAAGCTGGCTTGAGAGGGAACAGGAGCTCACATGGAAGGTGTAGTCAAAGCGGCTGTGAGAAGCTTCCAGGTGATTCCTGAGACCCTGATGGCCAAGGGAGGAGAAAGAAGCAGAGAGAATGAGAAGCAGATAGCAACAGGCATGATTCACAGATGAGATGGGCAAGGAGGTTAATGATTGCATTACCACAGCTGCGGCTGAAGAATTCTTCGAGGTGAAGATGGCATGGGAGAGTGTGAAGACGAGATGGCATGGGAGAGTGTGAAGACGAGATGGCATGGCATGTTCCAGCTAAAAGCAGCAACAGAAACTCACAACAGACAGTCCAAATGTAAATAACAAACCACACCGTCATCAGTTCAGCACAATCGAACATGCCATGCACAGGTAGCACCACACCGCACGCACCATACCTTACCACACCACACGCACCATACCTTACCACACCGCACGCACCATACCTTACCACACCGCACGCACCATACCTTACCACACCGCACGCACCATACCTTACCACACCGCACGCACCATACCTTACCACACCGCACGCACCATACCTTACCACACCGCACGCACCATACCTTACCACACCGCACGCACCATACCTTACCACACCGCACGCACCATACCTTACCACACCGCACGCACCGTACCTTATCAGACCACGCCAGTAGCAAATACAGAGTCACGGAAATTCTAAGGCTCACCCCTTTGTTGTTTTAAACCATACAGAAGAGATCGAGGCTCAAAACACACATCAATAAAATTCACTATTTCTGAAGTGAGTGAGTCCTTCGTTGAGAAACATTACATATGGAGGACACATACGGTACTAGGTGAATTTTGAGTCGACTCAAAAGTCACCTCTTTTGAGTTGACTCAAAATTCACTTCAAAACATTATATATGGAGGGCACATATGGTACTTCCTAACATAGGGTAGAGGCGGAGACACACCTTGGTGGTGCCACATGCAGTGCGGCAGATGGGGCAGCGGGAGCGACGCACGGCTTGCGACTTGCGCTGGCTGCCGTGGCCAAACCAGAAATGGAAGAGCACAGTACCGTCTCCACATGGCTGGGGGGAGTGCGAGGGGGTGGGGGGAGTGGGGGGAGTGCGGGGAGTGGGGGAGTGGGTGGGGGGGGGGGGGGGGTGTGACTTGATCCAAAGGCGGAGCACGGCTTGCGACTTGCGCTGGCTGCCGTGGCCGAACCAGAAATGAAAGAGCACAGTACCATCTCCACATGGCTGGGGGGAGTGCGAGGGGTTGGGTGGGGAAGGGGAGGAACACCCCTCGCTGCTGGCAGTGCTGGCAGTGCTGGCAGTGCTGGCAGTGCTGGCAGAGTTGCATGCTTTAACGAATTGCTGCCACAGCACAACTCTATCTCACCTGAGCGGGCAGCAGCACTCTGCCTTCAGGAACACCCCTCGCTGCTGACAGTGCTGGCAGTGCTGGCATGGTGCAGGCAAAGCATAGTACTACCTACCACTGCCCACCCACGCGTCAACCCACCTGCACGGGCAGCAGCACTCTGCCTTCAGGAACACCCCTCGCTGCTGACAGTGCTGGCAGTGCTGGCATGGTGCAGGCAAAGCATAGTACTACCTACCACTGCCCACCCACGCGTCAACCCACCTGCACGGGCAGCAGCACTCTGCCTTCAGGAACACCCCTCGCTGCTGACAGTGCTGGCAGTGCTGGCATGGTGCAGGCAAAGCATAGTACTACCACTGCCCACCCACGCGTCAACCCACCTGCACGGGCAGCAGCACTCTGCCTTCAGGAACACCCCTCGCTGCTGACAGTGCTGGCAGTGCTGGCATGGTGCAGGCAAAGCATAGTACTACCACTGCCCACCCACGCGTCAACCCACCTGCACGGGCAGCAGCACTCTGCCTTGCAGGAACACCCCTCGCTGCTGACAGGACTGGCAGGGCGACGGCCGCACGTCCACAAACAGGCGCTCGCTCATCTCCTGCCACAGAGAATGAAAATAAGGGGGTTTAACGAAACTTCACCACATCCCCACAACTATGGATGAGCATATTGCCGAACACCCGTTCGGTTCGTCTCGAACATGTTCGAGACGAACCGAACGGGATTTTTTTTTGCCCAAAAATGTTCGACACGAACATGTTCGATGTTCGTGCGAACATGTTCGGTGTTCGCCCGCGTCGATATGCCGAGCCGCGTCGAGCACGAACACGTTCGTGTTCGACGCGGGACATCGACGAACACCTAAGTGTTCGTCGACGAATTGGCCGCGACCTAATTTAGGGTCGCGGCCAATTCATTTCAACTCGTTTTTTTTAGCTCCGCGACCCTGTCGCAGTCGCTGCCACCAGCACGCCCTCTACCACCCTGCCACATCCTCACCTCACCTACTCTACTACTAGCCTAGAACGGAAGATATGCTACAACGCTTAGGTTAGTCGAGTTGGGAACGACACTTACTAAGAAAACGTAGCCAGCAACTACTCCGCGCGCTCAAGTTGAAGGGCACCGATTAGGGTTCCCACCGTAATCTAGTGTTTTGTAATCTAGTGTTTTGTATTGCTCAGCCCTCGGAGGCGAACACGAACATGTTCCTGGCGAACATGTTCGTGTTCGCCAAAGTGTTCGAAATGTTCGCCTTCACAGGCGAACTTCGAACACCCCTTTGGGCAAAAAGTGTTCGGCGAACCGAACACTGTTCGGTTCGCCGAACGGCCATGTTCGAGCCAAGGCGAACGCGAACATGTTCGTGTTCGCCTCGTGCTCATCCCTACCCACAACAGGCGGTCACTTATCTTGGGCCACAGGGATTCAGGCATTCCTCGGATCTCAATCATATCAAAACCACAACAACAAGAGCTAGTGGAAGAGGCTGTGTGGTTAGAGCACAGCAACCTTTGTCCCACCCTCTCTCCCCCACCCTCTCTCCCCCACTCTCTCTGCCCCACCCTTGTTGTCTCACCTGGCCTGTCTGGTCGGCGTGTGGCAGAGGCTGGAGGAAGAGAGCGGGTCGCTGCGACGAGCTCTGCGCTGAGTGCGCTGGTCGATCCTGATGGGGTAGTGCGAACGTGGCACATGAAATATTGTGTGACTTGTGAGTCGACTCAACAGCCGGTCTGGTCGGCGTGTGGTAGAGGCTGGAGGAAGAGAGCGGGTCGCTGCGAAGAGCTGCTGTGTGCTGTGTGTGCTGGTCGATCCTGATGGGACCATGAGAATGTGACGCATGGGATGCCGGGTGACGCATGGGATGATGGGTGGTGCATGGGATGGTGGGTGGTGCATGGGATGATGGGTGGTGCATGGGACGATGGGTGGCGCATGGGATGACGTTTGGAACCACATAGCGCTCACCACACCCCCTCCCCCCCACCATTACCATCGAACTCACCACAACCATTCCCAGACGTAAGTTAATGCAGCGTTGCCGCCAGAACCAAGCTCCACTGACTTGGTGGTTCGGCAACTGGCTCAACTGGGCAGGTTCGGCTGAGCCAGGTTCGACAGAGACAGGTTCGGCAGCAACAGGCTCGGTCGACAAATGGCCCCAGAAGACAATTCTAGGTTCGGATGCACCATGTCCAAACATGGCTGAGATGGCAGGTTCGCCGACAGATGGTGACACGCCATTGGCTACTGAGGGAGGTTTGGAGACACGTGGCACAAAGCCATTGACCAGAGGGCGACGCTGCGAATGTGAATGTGGATGTGGTTGAGACTGATGGGATGATAGTCCCATGTGGTGGTTCACACATGGGCTGTGCACGCCGCGTCGAGGAGCTGCAATGGGGAAGAAAAACCAGCATCAGGGGAAAACGATTCTTGTATTTTTACTCGACTAAAAAACCCAGACTCGTTGATGGGGAAGAAAAACGGCATAAGGAGAAAACGACTTTTGAGACGCCTTGAAGGTTGTTGAGGAGCGGTGATGGGAAAGAGAAATGGCACGACACGATGGGAAAACGGCCAGGCAGAAGGTGGGTTGGGAAGCAGAGGCAAGGTTGGGAAAGAGTGGGCTGGTTGCTGGCGAGGAGAGGAATCGAGACACAGTGTGCTGTCAGAGAGACCCCACACGGATGGGCAGAGGGAGGTCTATTCTTTAGGCGCCTATAGATTTGACCTCTATCAGAAGAAGCAGAAGCACAGATGACAATCGGCCGCTGCCGTTTATTCTTTAGAAGCCTCAATATAGACGGAGAGGAACGAATGAATGAATGGAGAAGAATGGGTGGGTGGTTGGATAGAGAGATGCAGCACACTCATGGATGACGAGCAGAAGAAGGCCTTAGTTGGCCGAAACGCGTTCGCACGCGAAGGCTTGCAGCGGATCGAAACCAGCTGATTTCAACTGGGTGGTTGGATAGAGAGATGCGGCACACTCACGGATGACGAGCAGAAGAACAGACGACGACCCACCACTGACGTCCATTGGCAGCACCATGCGCCTTGGCAGAGAGGAATGAAGGGAGAACGATGGGTAGACAGAGATGGGAGCCAGACACACTCACGGATGACAAGCAGAAGAACAGACGACGGCCCACCACTGACGTCCATTGGCAGCACCATGCGCCTTGGCAGGGCGGATATGTCGCTCTCTGGTGACCCCTGCTCATGCGCACTGCCACGCTCGTAGTGTAGCTGGTGCTCGTGGTGTAGGTAGAGCGAGCGAGGAGGTACACTTACGGATGACGAGCAGAAGAACAGACGACGACCCACCACTGACGTCCATTGGCAGCACCATGCGCCTTGGCAGGGCGGATATGTCGCTCTCTGCTGACCCCTGCTCATGCGCACTGCCACGCTCGTGGTGTAGCTGGTGCTCGTGATCGTGGTGGTGATGGGAATGATTTGTTGCTGCGGCTGGGGCGTCGACAGCTTCCAGCCTATGCAACTCCCCTGTAGTCCCGTTGTGCACGGCACCACTGTTCCTGCTGGTACCAGCAGCAGCTGCAGCAGCAGGAGCAGCAGGAGGAGGAAGAGGAGGAGGAGCAGCAGCATTGCCATCAGTGCTGGCACTGCCAGCACCCCAGGTTTCGAGCACAGGAGCGCACAGCACGGCAGAAGAAGCCCTCACAGAGTAACGGTCCCATGTGCCAGCTGCACCATTTGCACTGATACCATTCGCAACTGTGCCATTCGCAACAGCGCCATTCGCAACAGCGCCATTTGCACTGACAGCATTTGCTAAACCAGCACCGGCACCACTAGCACCCGCACCATGTGCACTAGTACCCGCTGCTGGGGTGGCAGCAGCAGCAGCAGCAGCAGGAGAAGTGCGTGTGAGAGGAATTGCAAGCACCATGAGGTGAGACGGCAGGGGATGGAGGGGCTGGGGCGACGGAGGAGGAGGAGGAGGGGCTGGGAGGGAGTAGGAGAGGGATGGAGGGCAGTTGGGGGAGGAGGGGAGGGAGAAGGCGGAGGAGGAGGAACAGGAGGCCATTCGGAGAGTGATGGCGCAGGTGCAAGTGGGGGAGTCTGATGGGTGAGCGGATGGGGTGGTGGATGGGGGAACAGATGAGGGTTCGCAGGGCCTGCAGGGAGAGAGGGGGGAGATTAGAGGGATGGGGGGATGTGAATGAGCGAATTAGTAGTCCTGGGCTCGAGAAAGCCAAGAGATAAGCTTGGACTCATGGCGGTGGATCTTACAAGCTGGAATAAAAAAGGTTCTGGATAGGAATGTGACTATGGTGCCACGCTGGGCCATTTTGAGACGTTTTAAAAGCTGCCAGGCTAGACTGGGCGCTTGAAACAACAGGCTGAGGCGGCGTCAAAACCCCACCCTAACCACCACATCCCCACTCTATCCATCCCCACCCTAACCAACTGCGTGTGCCTCCCACCAATGCGCCCACTATCCCTCCTCACCCTCCTCCTGTGGGCTTCTCTATCCACCTCGAACCCCAACGCACTATGATCACCGCACTGTACCCCCCTGGATCCCTCCTCACCCTTCCACTGCGTGTCCCAGCTGTTGCTGCAGCTGTCGCCGCTCCTCCCTCTCCTGCTGCGCTGCCGCTTCTCGCCGATACCTCAGGGTGCGTGGCAGGAACACACGCTGCAAGCGTGGGAATGAAAAGGGTCAGTTGAAATTGGGCGTCACTGCTCAAATACTATAGAGTCGAACATGCCAAGCCACCTTTTCCAGCCCATACAAAAGCAGCACAGCTGCCCCGCACACGAGCCCATCCACTCTTCTCCCAAGCTCCTCCAGGGTGCTCCCTCCAGTCGGCCTAAAATACCTGACTTCAACACCCTCTTCCCCTCTCCCCTCTCCACACACTTACTCCACTATCCCCGATTTACCATGGTCCATCCGAACATCCGACGAGATGAGTCGATTTTTGAGTCGACTAAAAAATTGACTCATCACAAGGGTAAGGGAGTCATTGCTCAAATACTACAGAGTCGATTTACCATTGTCCATCCGAACATCCGACGCTCACCGTTCCGTGGTTTTGCAGACCCGCGTAGAGCTGCATGGTTTTCATGTAGGCAGGTAAATCTGCCACGCCATTCCCCAACCACCACTCTCCACCGTACCGTTGTCCATCCGAACATCCGACGCTCACCGTTCCGTGGTTTTGCAGACCCGCGTAGAGCTGCATGGTTTTCATGTAGGCAGGTAGATCTGCCACGCCATTCCCCCACTACCACTCTCCACCGTACCGTTGTCCATCTAACCGACGCTCACCGTGCCGTGGCTTTGAAGAGCCGTGTAGAGCTGCATGGTCTTCATGTAGGCAGGCAGATCTGCGACACCAGTGTCGCCTGCGACGCCGTTCTCGCCTGCGACGCCGTTCTCGCCTGCGACGCCATTCTCCCCTGCGACGCCATTCTCGCGGTGAGGCGACTCAGAAGTAGGCTTGCCGAATGCAGGTACGTCGTCATTTTCCCCATCGTTGCCGCTCGCCATTGACGCGACTTAGGAAGCTAAGTACAGGTAACAGACACAATCTGGTCGACGAAACTTGAGGCGCCTAGGATAGAGCCGTTGCTCGCTTCGCTACTGGCGCGACGGAGGAAGCTAAGTACAAAGAACAGATACAATCAGGTCGACGAATCCTGGGGTATCAGTTTGACGAACTTGAGGCTCTCATATGAAGCTGCGGCTCGGCATTGACGTGACGGAAAGGCAAAGTACAGAGAATAGAGACTCCCAAGTGGACGGAATATGAGGCGCCTCGAATTAAGCTGCAGAGACTAAGGAGAAGAAATAGACGGAATCGACGACACGAAGGAAAGTAGACGTACGGAGGCAACGAACGGCGAGGGCTACGCATTTATCTGTAGAAGTAGCTGAGAACTTATCAGGATAGAGCTGCAGCTCAAACCTTGGCAAAACCAAGAACTTATTCGTGGCGACTAGCTTCGTTATAAACATTTCCAGTGAAGTACGAGTCTCTTGGATGCCATAAACATGGAATACAATATCATATTATCAGTGATATTTCCCATATTTTGCACGTTTCTAACAAAGGAGTCATTTTCACAAGCAACAGACGTCATGGAAATCAAAGAACGCACAGCTCTACGGTATATTCCTCGCAATCTGCTACCCAGACCCAGTTGCAAATCTGAAATACTATATGCATTTGCCCTTATGTCTCCTTCCCTCACAGATGTCCCCTCCGTAACATAATCCCGGTTACCACCTATCAGGGAACTCTCCAACCTCTGCCTCCTCAACCGTGTTGGGCTGAAAAACCCTTAGGATCTTTGCAGGGGTGAACTCTGGGTAGAATTGGTGTAGTAGCGGAAGCGTTAATTAAAGAGTTGTGAACCACCTTGCGCTAGTATATGAGGGCAAAGTAAGTTGATTAAAACAAAGAGATACAAGCTTTTATAAGAGTACAAGGAATACGAAGAGATACAGTTAATAACCGTTTTACTATTGCTGTTGCGGTTCGATACAGCGACGACTCGGGCAACTGCTCAATACCGAGTCAGTTGTTTGTCCTTGCTGTCGCGCTGTACTTTGTCAGGTCAAAGGTCGCTGACCTTTGACTTTCGCGTAACCTCCAACAGTTACTTTCAACCTCCGAGGGTTGACTCGCCGGTGATTCGTTATACTTCGTTTCTTTTGTGTCTTAGTGTTTCGACACGACAGAGGCGCTTAGGACCGATTGTTTCCAACACTCCCCTTCGCTTCTGGAGTGTCGCTGACGTGGCTCTGTCCAGTCAGCAGCATGCAGTATTCGAACTTCTGCTTTCCGAGCTTCTTGGTCAGGTAGTCAGCTGCCATCTCGGACGTGGGACAGTATGACAGCTCGAGCCTTCCCTTCTCGATCTCGTCCTTCACGAAGAAATATCGCAGGGCGATGTGTTTCGTCCTGTTCGCGAAGCCGTTCTTGTTGGCGATGCGAATTGCCGACTGGTTGTCGCAGAACAGGGTAAAGTTGGGTAACTCGGCTAACTTCGCTTCTTCCAGCAGCTCGCGAAGATAGAGTCCTTCCTTGGTGGCTGAGCAGAGTGCAATATATTCTGCTTCAGCTGACGAGAGAGCAATTAATTCCTGCTTGCTCGACTGCCAAGAGATAGGTCCGATAGGTTCGAGGCGGTAGATGTAGCCGGTGCGGGAGCGCCTATTGTCGGAGTCGCCAGCGTGATCAGCGTCGACGTAGCCGATTAACTTAGTCGGTGTGGTTGCGTTCTTGTAGTAAGTTAGGCCGATCGTTGGGGTGCTGACGAAGTAGTGAAGAGCGCGGTCGAGCTCCGCCAGATGTTCTGCTTCAGGCTTCTTGAGGTAGGTGGCGAGCTGGCTTGCGGAGTATGAGAGGTCGGGGCGACAGGTGACGGCTGCGAAGAGAAGACATCCCAGCTTCTTCTGGTAGTCTCGTATGCCGGCGGGCTTGAGTAGAGCGGAGCTTCCTTTGTCGTTCCCTGCCGTGTAGCGGTATGGCGTGGAGATGGCTGTCGGTGTGAGCGTAAAGCGTTTGGCGATGGTGTCGGCATATTTCTCGGCGCTGAGGTAGATCGCGTCCTCCTCTTCCCGGATGTTGAGGCCGAGGTACTGAGTGACGGTAGATGAAACTGTGAGCGTGAGATCTCGCTGCAGCTCCCCTTCGAACCAGGTAGTGATGCCGTCATTTGAGCCGATGTAAAGGAGATCGTCCACGTAGACGATTAGTAGGATGTAGTCGTCGTTTTTTGTGAGCCGGTACATGCCTTGATCGTGCGGTAGTTGCTTGAAGCCGATGCGGATGAGGCGAGCGTGCAGGTAATGTTGCCACAGTCGCGGAGCCTGCTTGATGCCGTAGAGTGACTTGAGTAGCTGGCAGACTTGGTTGGGTTCTCTGTGGGAGCCGTGCGGTAGCTCGACGAAAATTTCTGCATCAACAGGTGCGTAGAGAAACGCGTTCGCGACGTCAATTTGTCGCAGCTTCTTCTTCTTCATGGCGGCGATTGCGAGGAGAATGCGTAGTGAGGTGTGGCGGCTAACCGGAGCGAAAGTTTCGGTGAAGTCGCGTCCGTGTTCTTGGTCGAAGCCGCGTACAACCCAGCGAGCTTTAAATTTGTCAATGGTGCCGTCAGCCTTTGTCTTCACACGGAAGACCCACTTCCCGGTGAGCACTGTCTTGTTCCGTGCCACGCCGATAGGAACCACTTTCCACGTGTTGCGTTCCTCCAGTGCCTTCAGCTCCTTGTCCATGGCTTCGCGCCATTTTTCCTTATGCTCCCCCCCCAGAGCCTGTTGAACCGTCGCAGGCTCTTTAGGAATGGCGGTGCCGTGGACTGCGGTGACGAGTCCGAGAATTTGCAGTCCACTCTGTGAGTAGCGGGGAAGATTTGCGTCCTCGGGATAAGCTGCTTCATCTCCCGCTTCTGGATCAGGTATGAAGTTGGGTCCTACTCGTTCTGCTTCGTTGGTGTTGACTGTCGCAGGTGTTACGTAACCGTTGTCGGCGAAATAGTAGAAGGCTTCGGCGTTGACACTTTCGCGAGAGTTATCTTCGTCCATGGGAACGTCGACGGAGCAGAACGGAAGAGGTCCGGCTTCTTCTGATGCGTTGTCCACATTCTGCTCGTCCCAGTCAGCTTCGTCCGCTGCTGGGGCGAAGGCTCGGTCACCGCGAAAACCACCTGTGGGATCCTGGTCTTCTTGCAGGTTGGCAAGGTATGTCTGGAGCGTGAGTCGTTCGTAGAAAATTATATCACGTGCTGCAACTGTTTCCTTGGAATGGACATCGAAGATTTTCCACGCGTTGTAGTTCTTTTCGATTCCCAGGTGTAGTCCCCACTGTGCTCGTTGAGAAAATCGGCCCGCTCGTGCTGCTGGGGGTCGGTACTGTACCATGCATCCGAATACTCGTAACATTTTTGTGCTGCCCTGTTTCCCTGTCCATAGCAGATGCGGTGATGCGTTGTTTGGAAGCGATGATGACGAGAGCAAGTTGTGCAGCATGACGGCGTGGTCCATTGCCGCAGGCCACTGGTGGTTGGGTAGCCGCATGCCACGTAACAGTTTGCGCATGCTGTTCTGCAAGGTCCTGTTCATTCTTTCTGCTACACCTTGCTGCTGATGGGCGTAGGGAAGGGAGATGAGCCGCTTGATTCCCCTTTCCGCCAGGTACTGCTTGAATCGCTGAGAGGTGTATTCTCCTCCTCCGTCTGACTGGAAGCTTTTCAGTTTCACGCCCGATTCTCTCTCTGCTACTGGTAGCCAGGCAACGAAGGCTGCGAATGCCATGTCGCGGCTAGGGAGGTTTAGGTGCCAGACGTAACGGGTGGCGGCGTCGATGAAGGTGATTGTATAGTTGTATATTACTTGTCCTGGTTCCCGATTGTACAGGATGTCGCTATACACCTTCTCGAGTGGTGCGTACGCGGGTGCGCTCGGGTTGTGATGAGACGCAAACGGTCGATGTGGTAAGTCACCTTCAGGGCAGGTGAAGCACGTTCCGCGTACTCGTTGAAGTTCTCGTCCGTCGGTCAGTAGGAGTGAGTCCTTGTCGAGTACTCCTGCTCTTATCGTATTGTTTAATACTGTATTGATTGGGTGTCCCATCCTTGCGTGCCAGGTGCTTTCGTCGGCGCGATGTCCGGGTGATCGTCGGTACATATCGGAGTTGGAGTAGAAGTTGGCGGTGAAGTTGGCGCTACGATGAACTTCTCGTGGTGCTGGGTGTAGTTGTTGCGCGGGTGTCGGTGGTGTGTCGTCGATGAGGAGCGGTGTCGTTGAAGGACCAGCAATTGGTGTTGACGTTCCTGCTGCTGCCGTTGATGGTTCTGCTACTGCCGATGTTGTCTCTGCTGCTGCCGATGTTGTCTCTGCTGCTGCCGATGCTGTCTCTGCTGCTGCCGATGTTGTCTCTGCTGCTGCTGATGTTGTCTGAATTGTTGCTAACGCCCTTGTTCTTTCTGCTTCAGGGATGGTGTGTGAATACCAGAAGCCTTCTGGACTGAAGTCTGGATCAAGGTCTGGAGGGTGTGTCCAGTTGGTGAAGTTAACGATGGCGTCGCTGTCGGCGGTGCCAAGATCAGGAACGAAATCGAGAACGAAGACGTTGTTCTTGAGGACCGCCTTGCCGATGTAAAGTCCTCCTCTCCCGTGATACAGCTTGAATTCTTGGGTGGTGCTGTCTGCTTCGAGGTGAATCCCTTTCGCCATTAGCTGACTGACGCTCAGTAAGTTGTAGCCGAGTCCCTCCGCGATTAGTACTATTGACATCTGCAGTATAACGTTTGTTTCCCTTGACTGAAGTTGAACTACGCCTTGTCGTCGTGTTCGCAGGTTCTGATTGTTGGCGACTGTAATGACAACTTCGCGTTGAAGTTGGTGTTCTCGTTGAACGAAGCGTCCCGAGGAGCACATGTGCTGTCCGCAGCAACTGTCCAAGAACCATGTGTCCTTTCCGGATGGTTTGCTTTGGGCGATGGCGGCGTATGTCGGGTTCGGCTGAAGTGACTCACGGCGGGGTGTGGTTTCGTCGAGTTGTTCTTCCGGTGAGTAGTGTGGTGGTGACTCGGTGATGCAGGAGTCACTCAGCTTTGCCATGCAGCTGACGATGTTTCTTGCTCCTTGTGCAGGTTGTCCCGTTGAAGTCGTTGAGGCTTGAATCTGGGTCGTGGGATTTGCTTGCGTTGAGGCGATTTGGCTGCTTGAAGGTCGAAGTTGCCGCTGTGGAGTTGTTGACTGTTGACGATTTGGGCAGTGCGTACGCGGGTGTCCTGAAGTTTTGCAGATGTGGCAGAACGGAGGTACTGGCTTCGGTTGTTGCTGCCGGTTGTTGTTGTTGTTGTAGCGTCGTTGAGTGTGGAACGCGAATTCCGGTGTTGATGTCTTCTTTTTGTGTCGTTCTTCTTGCAGGTCCATGTCTTGCTGCTCGGCGTGGATTTCGGCGCAGAGCGCTGCTTCGGAGATTCTTCCGTGAGCTCGGAGAATGGCCTTTGTGGCGCGCCATTGAGGACCGAGGCCGCCGATGATGACTATCACGAAGGCGTCTTCAGAGATCGACCCTCCGCATCGAAGAAGCTTGTCGCGCAACTCGCGACATCGACTGATATACGCCATTCCTTTCTCCCCTGGTTTCATTTCAACCGTTGTCAGTTGCGCCATTAACCGACTTTGGCTTACGCTGTCTGTTGCTTGATACAGGCTCTTCAGGTGGTTGTACGCGAGCTCCGCGGAGTTGCCGTAACCTCGGTAAGACCTTATGTTCTGCTGTTGAGTCGGGGTGATATTCCTCAGTAGGATCGTGTACGCCATCATTGACTGATAGGTGTACTGCTGCTTCTCGTACTGTGTGCCGTTTGTTGGGTATGGCAGAGACTCGTCGAAGAACCCGAGTATCTGCGCGCCTTCCATCATCAGCTCGAACTCGAACGACCAGGTGAAGAAGTCCTTTCCATCGAAGGGTCTTAACGTCTGCATCTTCAGAACGTGTGCGAACTGCGACTGAACTTGTAATGCGTCCAGTGATTTTTCTTGTCCAGGTGAAGGCTGTGGGTGTGGCATAAAGCTGATGGACCCGCGCTCGTACGGAGCAAAGGTAGGCTGCTGTTGTTGATTTCCTCGTGCATATGATGAGCCGTCGAGACTCATGGGTGTTGCTCCGTTGTTGTTGCTGTTGTGTGACTGCGCAGGTGCCGATTGCTGGTGTTGCTCGTAGAAGGACATGAAGGAGAAAAACTTCTCCATCATGCTCTGGTCGAAGTCTGCAGGTTGATTCGCGGGAGTCTCAGTAGATGTTGCTCTGGGTCTTGTTGCTGTGCCCTCCTCTGTCTGTAGGCCAGAGGCAGGAGGTGGAGTAGGAGTAGTGCCCTGGGAGCCGTTGGAGTTGCTCCTTTCCTTTTGTGTAGCCATGCTTGTTGATGTTGTCGGTATAGAAGTTGAATTCCCCCTGATAGCTCTCATACCATGTTGGGCTGAAAAACCCTTAGGATCTTTGCAGGGGTGAACTCTGGGTAGAGTTGGTGTAGTAGCGGAAGCGTTAATTAAAGAGTTGTGAACCACCTTGCGCTAGTATGTGAGGGCAAAGTAAGTTGATTAAATCAAAGAGATACAAGCTTTTATAAGAGTACAAGGAATACGAAGAGATACAGTTAATAACCGTTTTACTATTGCTGTTGCGGTTCGATACAGTGACGACTCGGGCAACTGCTCAATACCGAGTCAGTTGTTTGTCCTTGCTGTCGCGCTGTACTTTGTCAGGTCAAAGGTCGCTGACCTTTGACTTTCGCGTAACCTCCAACAGTTACTTTCAACCTCCGAGGGTTGACTCGCCGGTGATTCGTTATACTTCGTTTCTTTTGTGTCTTAGTGTTTCGACACGACAGAGGCGCTTAGGACCGATTGTTTCCAACAAACCGTAGCTCATCTTCCTGTGCTTGTCCCCCTACAAGCTGCTCCTGTAGCAGCATCAGCTGACGAAGCTGTTCCAGCTGTGCCAATTCCTCGTCAGCCTCTCTCCCCCCTTGATCTTGAATTTGCTGCAGTGCGTGAGACCCAGCCTCCAGCTGCTGAGGCAATGCAGACTCAGAAGCAGATCCAGGCTGGGCCAAGGAAGGAAAGGAGCGATGCTGAATCGCTGGAATGAAACCACGAGTTGAAATGCCACCGGGCAAAAATCCACGTGCAGGAACGGCCGGAGCAGGAATAACTGCAGCAGGAGCCGAGCCATCAGCAGGTGCAGGAAACCCAGAGGCGAACTGATGGAAACGCAAAACAGCCACTGCCCGAGGAGCAGTCGCAGAAGGCATAGTCAGGTCACTAGGAACAGCCACTGCCTTTGCCATGCCTGCCTGTGCTTGCTGACCTGCCACCGCCAGCAGCCGACTCAACCACTCCTGCTGCTGCCTCTCATACACCCTCTCCTGCTGCTGTTGATCCTGATGCAACATCTCCTGCTGCCTCTGCCCCTGCTCTTGCTGCCTCTGCCCCTGGAGCTGCTGCGGCTGCTTCTCCAGCGTCTGCTGCTCCTCCTGCTGCTGCCCCTGCAACCGTGGTGGCCTATGGGGTCGCAGCCATGCCTGACTCCCTGCTGAACCCTCACCTCCTCCACCCCCTCCGCTGGCTGGCTGAGCTGGCAGCGATGCTGCAGACTCAACTCCCCTGCAACCTCCTCCCCGAACTCTACTTCCGCCACCCCCTCCAGGGCCTCCGCCAGTCTCCAGCATCGCTGCCAGCTCAGCCAGGCCAACATGAGGAGGACCATGAGCAGCAGGAACAGGGATGGGCCGATGCAGAGCCACTGGCAGCCCAGATTTCACTGCCACGTCGCCCTGCTGCTGCTGCTGCTGGTGTGACTGAAACTGCTTCTGGTGCTGCTGCTGCCTCTGCTGCTGAAGCACCTCCTGCTGCGCCTTTAACTCCTCCTGCATGATCAATCGCTCCTGCTGCTGCTCCTCTGTTGCCACTACCACAGGAGCAGACACAGCACGTCCAGGTGCATCGTCAGGTGAAACCTCAGGTGTAACAGCAGGCTTAAAATTAGAACCGGGCTGACGAGAATCAGGTGCAACAGCCACTGGCTTGATAGAGGCTACATATGGAACAAATGGGGACCATTCTCTACCGGAGGCAGAAAACACCTGCGCTGGAGCAGCAGCGACTAGCGGGAGGGAGGGAGGAACAGAGGCAGGATGAGCAGGAGCGAGTGAAGACGCAGAGGTAACTGCATGAGGCGTTCCAGCAGGGTCAGCAGCAGGAGCTGTTTCAGGGAGGCAAAAGTGGGAAAGAAGAGACTGGAGGAGCTCGGGGGAGAGGGTGGAGAGGAAAGGGTCTGGGGCGGGAAGAGGGAGGAGTGGATGGATGTGTTGCTGGGTGTTGAAATTTGGCATGGTGGGAGGTGGTGCTGGTGCTGAAGGTGCTGCTGGTGGTGCAAGTGATGGTGGTGGTGGTGGTGGTGATGGTCTAGGTACTGGTGCCAGTGATGGTCTAGGTACTGGTGCCAGTGATGGTCTAGGTACTGGTGCCAGTGCTGCAGGAAAGGGTGAGGGCAGGGCTGCTTGTAATGCGGAGTGTAGCAGAGCTGATTTAGGATCGCAGGAGAAAATCTGTGGAAGCTGCTGCTGCTGCTGGAGAAAAATCTGAAGCAGGAACAGCTGCTGTTGCTGTTGCTGTTGCTGTTGCTGCTGTTGCTTTGCTGTTGCTGTTGCTGTTGCTGCTGTTGCTGTTCCTGTTGCTGCTGCTGCTGTTCCTGTTGCTGCTGCTGCTGTTGCTGTTGCCGCACAAGCTGCTGCTGGTGCAGCATAGTCTGCAATGCAGTGCTCACGTCAATCTCCATCTGCTCTTCTCCTTCACTCCCCCCAACACCACCACCAAAACCACCACCAAGTCCTGCCACAACACCACGCCCCGGCGCAAACCCATGCAATCCAGCACCCAAAGTCACAGCAGCACCAGCAGACACACCCCGGTCAATGCTAGTGGAAGACCCGCACGGCACACAGGCTAAAGCCTGAATGCCTGACGTTGACCCGCACTGCATGTCAGCCCAAGCGCTTCTTCCTGTGGCGGCTGTGCTGGTTGCTGTGGTTGCTGTGTTGCCTGCTGTGCTGTATGTTGCAGCTGTGCGAACCAGTTGCTGCTGCTGCTGCTGCTGCTGCTGCTGCTGCTGCTGCTGCTGCTGCTGTAGAGTAAGTTGAGGCAGGAAAGCAAGTGATGACTGCGCAAGCATATCCTGCTGTTGCTGCTGCTGCTCCAGATAATGCTGGTGGTTTGCTTCTGCTTGCTGCAGCTGTTGCAGCTGCTGCAGCAGCTGTTGCTCGTGGTTTGGCTGTTCTTGCTGCCATTGCTGCTGATGCTGCTGCTGTGGAATTTTCTCCTGAAGTTGATGCTGGTAGTGTGCTTCGGCTTGTTGCAGTTGTTCCAGCTGCTGTAACAGCATCTGTCGCTGATGGTTCCGCTGTTCTTGCTGCCATTGCTGCTGCACCTGCTGTTGCAGCAGCAGCCGCTGTTGCTCTGGTTGCTCCTGTGATTGCTGTTGCTGTTGCTGTGACTGCACATGCTGCTGCACGTGTTGCTGCTGCTCCTGCTGATGCTGCAGTAGTTGCGTTAATCTACTCTGGGCTTGCTCCTCTGTCCTCTTTACGAAATCCTCAACTTTGCGCTCTGTTTGGCGGGGCATAATGCACGCAACGGAGAAGGAAAGAGAGAAAGAAAATAATGAAAATAAGTTGAAAAAAGAAACAAGGATTCGTACAAGCAGGGGCTCTTTGGGACCAAACGCAAGAGCCTTAGGTATATAAGCAGGACAAAAGCCATCATCATGACTCACCTCGCCTGTGCAGATTCATGTGGCCTCCAAGGGCGCGGAACGAACCGAATTCCTTGCCGCAGAATCGGCACTCATGAGTCGCCTCCACGTCTGTGCCCGCTCCAGATTTCCCTGCGTTTTGTGATTCCCCTTTACCAGGCACAACACTTGGTCCAGACTGTGATTTGGATGGCTGCTGCTGCTGCTGCTCCTGCTGCTGTGGCATCATGAGATGCTCCTCTTCCATACGCTGCGCTTGCTGCAAGGTTGTCGCTTTGTCTTTCTGCATCACACCTGTTGCTGATTCCAATCCCCCCTGTCCTTGTTCTCTTGCTTGTCCTGCTCCTGCTCGTTCTGCTCCTGCTTTCTCGGCTCCTACTCCCTCTCCGCCTGAACTAAAACGTGCACCCTCAACTGCATCCCCACCCCGGCCCACCACAAGAGCTCGTCTCAAAGTGGCCCCAAGCGTTGGCCAATCAGCTGCAACCGCCCTCACCTCGTCCTCGCTTGGAAGAATACGTCGCTTCTTGGGGTTACCACCACCTCTCCTGCTTCCGCTGGCACTTAGCAAAGAGCATCTCTGAAAAGGAAAGACTTCACGTCCAGATTTTACCACCAGATTCCCCACTTCCCCTCCCTCAGCCTGCTCAATGAACGCAATACCCCTTCTTTTTTCATCCCCACCCTCTCCTGCCAAGTTGAATTGACTTTTCTCTACAGCCCTGTTCCCAGCCATTCCTGCACCTCTTCCAATGCCGCTGCCCTTAAAGCCCGCCCTTTCCCTCTCCCTCATTTCGGGACGCTCCTCATATTCCACGTGTGACTGTAGTGAAGGGTGATCACGCGCCCTCCTGCTGCGGCTGCTGCTCAGGCTTCGAGCCAGGTTACTCTCGGCAGTACAGTGCAAAGAGGCGTCCGGCGCTACAGCCATAGTGGGGGGTACTTGTAACGGGGATGAACGGTGCGCTAGACTGAAAGGCTCGCGGAAAACAGCAGTCGGAGCAGAGTAAGGAACGCATTCGTGTAACGACGGAGGAGCAGAGGAGCGATCCAGAGATGATTGGGGTGCTCTGGAAGGGGCACTCGCAGCAGCAGCAGCAGGATCACCAAAATTGGCAGGACTAGCTGAATCTGCCATTGGAATTGCAGGTGAAGGACTAGTGACTGGATATCTTTCCCCAATGAACGCTTAAAATCGCTTATTAGCGTAAAAAGCTCGTGTATTACAGCAGGAATCACATGGGCTGATTGGCAGCTGAAGACGTCTCGAGGATGCGAAAACCCTCTGCAAACTGGAACAGGCAGCCCAAGTAGTCTGCTACCTCATCATCTTGTTCTGTTCTTGCCAAGAGCAGAATTAAGTGGTTCGGCCTGCAGCTGTGACGCTCGCGTGTCGAAGTGGATGAGCAGCCTGAGATCGCTACCTGAAAGCCCACCCACGCGGTTGTGCTGGAGCGAAGGCCACCCACGCGTTGCGCTGCGAGCCAACGGTGCTCCCGCGCGCTTCAGGCTCCTGCTGACGCATGCCTGCTTTCAACTTCCTCCGAAAATGTCTGCTGGATATTTCTGCTGACGCTTGGGTCGGGTCGCGCTGAGCGCTGACCCTTCGTCCTATCAATGGCTGTCTGATTTGCGTGAATTGCAAGCAGCTGCCACCCACCTGGCCCTTTACACCCCCAAAATGCTTTGATCATGTGAGAAATCTGGTGAACGCCGAGGGAGACGGGAACTTACAGGCAGCTTCCAGATAGCCGACCAAAGGCCACAACACGCACCCTGATGGCTCACCTTGGAAGTTACGTTTACGTTGTAAACTACGTCACTGGTCATGCAGCAACTTGTACACGTGTCAGGCGTCAATGCAGAGGTCAGCACAATGTCGCGCGGTGCTGATCGCAGCCTTTTCGCCATCCTCCCAAAATTATATTGCGACAAAAGTGGAAATGTACAAATCCAAATCTGGAAACAAGCGACTCGCAAACTCAGTCCTAACAGTTACGCGACTGACAGTAAGTCTATGCAGATGAGCTGGCACCTAGAAAGTCACTCCCACATGCCACGCTTTGGACCCGGAAGACGCGTGGTGGATGCAGATTCTCTCACACAACAACTCATGCAGTCGACGAGGAACAACGGCACATATCTAGGTCCCAACCGCGATGATGAAGAGTTGGTCATGTTCCCTTGGTGACTATACTCGATTATAGAATATCCGAAGTGTAACCACATACATACTTACTAAACAGTAACATACTTGCATATATGACCACGCACAATGCCTTCTCATTAATCGTGGATACATTAATCAGAATATGCAATCAAAGCGATATCCGAATATAGGCGTTTTTTTTTAGTTTCTCAAATCATTGTTTGATAAATTTCGTGCCTCAATCTCCTCCATAGCCTGCAGTGGAAGGCACCCAAACCCAAGACTCTTGTTATTATCTTCTCTGAAACTCTATAACGCAGAAACTGATTGCTACGCAAGTCATCTAGCCAGTCCGACCACATTAGTAGTCAGTCCGAGAAGAATCACACTGTTTACCAGAAACGCCGCCGTTTTTTTCCAGCCTCTGTAAACGTAGCAGCATAGATGCCGTTCGGGCAGATCGTGATCGGCCCGCCAGGGTCGGGGAAGACCACGTACTGCAATGGCATGCAGCAGTTCATGCAGCTTCTAGGAAGGTTCGGTCGAGCTCATTCCGTGTCTTCCGTCGTCGGACTGCTGCCCATCGTTTGCCACCACGTCGCACACCACTCTTATTGTTACGTCAGAATAGCTTGCTCAACTTGAAAACGTCTCGCTCGAAATTCGATGCTCCTTCCAGTCGTAGCAGTAAACCAGTATCCTGTCCCGTTTCAATTCACCATGCCCTTATAATCACATGCCGTTATACTTCCGTGCCGTTACAATCCCCATGCCATAATAATTCCGTGTCAAATCATCATCACAGGAAGGTGGCAGTGGTCAACATGGATCCAGCCAATGATCGCCAACCGTGAGTCACACTCCATCATATGTACCCCTTGCCGAACCATGCTACCCCCTCTCAGCTAACCCCCTCAGCTACCCCCACTCGCCCCGCACCCCTGCTCCCCTGACCGCGCAGGTACGAGTGTGCAGTGAACGTGGAGGAGCTCGTTCGCCTGGAGGACGTGAGGGGGCAGCACGCACGGGCTGTTGCTGAGGCGCCTTACACACAAACACAAGCTCCTCCCTCCCTTTTCCCGCTCATCCCTTTCCTCCCACACCTCTGCTCTGCCGCTCTGGTCGTGCAGGTACGAGTGTGCAGTGAACGTGGAGGATGATTAAGGCCCCTCATCCATCCCCCCTCTCCCCTCACCTCATCCACTCCCTGACCGCGCAGGTACGAGTGTGCAGTGAACGTGGAGGAGCTCGTTCGCCTGGAGGACGTCGTGGGGCAGCACGGGCCCTTTGTGCGTCTCCCTCGCCCCCCTTCCTTCCCTTTCCCATCTCCATCCCGCCACCTCCCTCACCTCTTCTCTGCCCCTTTGGTCGTGCAGGTACGAGTGTGCAGTGAACGTGGAGGAGCTGGTTCGCCTGGAGGACGTCATGGGGCAGCACGGGCTGGGACCCAACGGAGGTGAGAGGAGGAGAGGAGAGGAGGGGGCGTGAGGCCAGTCGGTGGGTGATTTCTCTTCTTGTGATCTAGTCGATGACGGGGTGATGTGATGCGGCAGCACGGGCTGGGGGCTAATCGTGGTGAGCTGCGAGGTGGAGAGAGGAGGGCTGGCATTAGGGGGGTTTGGATAGGTGTATTCCTTTCTTATGTTTTACATTTGTGTACTCACTGGCAATTGTGTTTGTGTGTGTATGTGTGGGTGGGTGTGTGTGTGTGTGTGTGTGTGCGTGTGTGTGTGTGTGTGTGTGTGTGTGTGTATGTGTGTGTATACCGGTTTTCCTACATGCAGGTCTCGTGTACTGCATGGATTACGTAGACAAGAACTTTGACTGGCTGCAGAGCGATCTGAAAACATTTTTGAGGCGTTTCAAGGCTCCCATTTCCTCTCACCCTCCCCCCTTTCCTTCTCCCTCACTCCCCCCTCATCCTACATGCAGGTCTCGTGTACTGCATGGACTACATCGATAAGAACTTCGACTGGCTTCAGAGCAAGCTGAAACCACTAGAAAAGGGTGAGTCGATGCTTAAGGCCCCCTTTGCTCCATTCATGCCTCAAATGCCTACTTCGAGCTGAATGGCTGTTCGCGCATGTTCGCTTGCTTGTTTGTTTGCTTTAACGGCAGCATTTGCCGGTGCTTCTGCTTCCACCTTATCTTGAGATGCTGCCATTTCGTGTGTGCACTCTGTTTCTACTCATAATTGTTCATCTTTGCCTTTTCACTCACCCTCTGACAACTAACCCACCCATCCCCGTTACAAGCAGACCACTATTTCCTCTTCGACTTCCCCGGGCAAGTGGAGCTGTTCACTCTGCACGCCAGCGCTCAGAGCATCATCAAGCGCCTCACCGACAAGATGCACTACAGAGTGAGTCTGGTGGTCAATGGGTTGGGGTATCAGATATATCCATTCACACGCATGGCTCATAAGGCGCCTCGAAATTCTCCCTGCAGTCTATTCACTCTGCACGCCAGCCCGCAGAGCATCATCAAGTGCCGACAAGATGCACTACAGAGTGAGTCTGGTGTATGGGTGGGGTGTCAGCCACGCAGGCAGGCAGGCAGGCAGGCAGCTGTTGAGTTGAGTGGACTGTAGAACAAAAATGTAGGAGGAACAGATCTAGGACGTCCTTTTAGACAAAGTCGACTGGCCAAACGGCTAGTCCAAAAGGTTCACAGACAAAAGGCGTTGTGTGCCAGCCGGGAATCGAACCCGGGTCTGCACCGGGCACATGGCAGGGTGCTATTCTACCACTAGACCACTGGCACGATCAGATGTTAGTGCAATGACACTCACCTAAAAGATCCAATGGGACGAACTGTTTGTAAATGCCCCCCTCCCTTCACCCCCCCAACCTACCTTGCACACCAGCTAGCAGCTGTCCATCTGGTGGACACGCATCTGTTCAGCGAGCCACACTGCTCTCTCCTGTCCCTGCCCTCGTTCGTACTTACTGCTGCTCTCCCCTCCCCCGTCATGCACTCAAGCTAGCGGCCGTGCGTCTTGTGAATGCGCATCTGTGCAGCGAGGCACACTGCTCTCTCCTGTCCCTGCCCTCCCCCATACTTACTGCTGATCTCTCCCCCCCCCCACCATGCACACCAGCTAGCGGCAGTGCATCTGGTGGATGCCCATCTGTGCAGCGAGGCACACAAGTACGTGGCGGCACTGCTGCTGTCGCTGCAGGTAAAGGGTGACGCCAGGCTTCGCGTCCAGTAGGGGGTCTCCACAGGCGCTTAACTGAGGTTCTGTCAAATCGCTCTTTTTTTTTTTTTCCCCTAGCTTCTCCTTGTCAGTTTCGTTTTTTTCAATCTTCAGCAACTCATTTCTGGCTTTGGTCTGCTCTGTTTGCTATGTGGGCAGGCGATGTTACATTTCGAGCTGCCACACGTCAACGTGCTCTCAAAGGTCGACCTCGTGGAGGCATATGGGCCCCTGGGTGAGTGCATCTATTCCTCTTTCCCTCTCGTTCTGTGACACGTTTTGAGTAGACTCCTAGATTGAAGGGTACGGGGGAGGCATACAGGCCCCTGAGTGAGTGCCGCCAAGGCTGTCCCCACCATCTTGCGAATCTGAGACATGAGGCAAAGGGGTTGTTGGCAGGGGGGAGTGGTGAGAAACTGTCTCTCTAAGAAAACGCTCTAGCTCGCAGTAAACCAGGCTCCGTCCATCCATTCACCCGATCCATGGGGCTTGTCTCGTCGTCCTAAGAACCATACGAGTTGATGGAAGTAAGGCCTCCGCAGCCCACCTGTCCGTTACTGACAACTCGTACATTCGAGCTCAAAGATTGACCTCGTGGAGACATACGGGCATACGGGCATACGGGCCCCTGAGTGAGTGGATCTCTTCGACCTCTTCCGCTCCCCGTCTCCTTCTGTGCCCCGTACCCTTCAATCTGGGCTGATTTGTTACACGGATGTGCAGGAACTCTTGTTCTTGCAGCAGAGCAGGGGTCTGAGGCGACTTCTCGACTCGACTGTCCCCGCCCCCTCTCGCCCACTCCCACCACTCCCCCTCTCCACTCCCTTCCGCCCCCAGCATTCAACCTTGACTTTTACACGGACGTGCAGGACCTCTCGTTCTTGCAGGAGCATCTCGAGAGCGATCCACGCAACAAGCGATACGCGTGAGCACACTCTTCAATGCATGCTCAACCTGTCCTGTGCTTTCTTAAACTACAGCTGTTTCGTGCCTTCCCAACTCACGCTGTTGTGCTTTTGAGTGACTTCCTTTTTCTTTGTTTCTTCCCCCCCTCCTCCCCCCCCCCCCCCCCCCCTTCCTGGCTCCACCACCCAATCTCCTCATCTCCCCCGTCCCCCTTCTCTCCCACCCCACACGCCAGCAATTGAGTCGACGTCACCCAAACTATTGCACCCCCTCCCTTTCCCCCATCCCCCCTCTCTTCCACCCCACACGACAGCAAGCTAACATCAGCAGTGTGCGAAGTGGTGGATGATTTCGGCCTTGTCTCGTTCGAAACACTCAATATCCAGGTGAGGTGACCGTGGTCCTCCTCACTCACGCACATGACTCACACGCATCTCTCACTCCACTCGCCCCCCTTACTCACTCCGTCCCCTGCCCCACGCGCCCGCTCACCCCACTTACCCAACTCACCCCTGGTGTCATTTCATTTTGCTGCTTATATCCCTCCCACTTACTTCCCACACCGTTTCCCCTTCCAGCCAACTACTCTCTCTTCCATCCATCCAACCAACCACTCCCACCCCCTCCCCCGGACCCCCTCCATCCGCACTCCGTCCACTCTGCCCGCTGTGCCCTCTTATCAGGACAAGGAGAGCGTATCGAATCTGATCCGCACAATCGACAGGGCGAACGGCTATGTGTTTGCGGGGATAGAGGCGAGCGCTGCTGAGTATTCCAAGATTGCCACGCGCTCCCTGCAGTGGGAGGACGAGAGATATCCCCCTCACACACACACTCTCACTCTTACCCCTCACACTGACTTTTGTGTTTCCCTGTTCACACACCCACACATTCTCTTACTTCTCGTGCTCACTCACTCTCTCCCATCTTCCCTTGCGCATTTTCTTTGCTATACATGCTCTTGCTCAATCTTCATGATGCCCATTTATACTTTTGTTCATTCCAGTCTATTCTTGCACCTTACAGACTCGTTTTTCCTCCAACTCTCCCTTGCCATCCTCATCCGCTTTCCCAAAGTTGTCGCTTCCACTGGTTACTCAAGTTGGTTCTGCCAACCCACGCTTCACTTCACCCCTCTCTCCACTCCCTTCCTTCGCCCTTTAGTACTCTTGTAACTTACATTTCAAGTTTCCTTAACCTGCACCCCCTTTTAAACAATCCTCCGTGCGACCTCTTATGTCTGACGGACGGCGGCCTTGTTGCGATGGGGAATGGCACTCATGCTTATTTTGCTATTGATGACCTTTCCACAATAGGGGACGTCCATGAGAAATACTTTAGGGATGATGAGTCTGGACGAGAAGAGGGATAACAATGTGAGATGATTTGAAGATGAAAATTTCTGTATAATTAATCTTAAAGTTTTTTTTAAGGATGAATTGAACAGAACAGCAGCTGCTGATTAATTGTCGTGGCAGACTAGTCATTGTACCTTATAGCGAGGTCACGAGTCAATCAAATAATTCCGAGGTTGGATCTAGAGCATTTTACCCAACAGCACAAATAAAACCGAGTTCCCTTTACTCGAGAACAAAATACAACTCCTCAAGCATGACTGATCAATAACAGCATCGTGATTGGCATTGATGGCGACTCGTATGACGACACATGATATGAGTATGGCGACCCGTACGGCGACTCGACTGGACGATAGCACCTCGATGAGTGGTAGTCGTTTTGATCCCGTAGATGCCTTCAAAGCTCAGCAAGAGCAGCGATTGGACGAGGGGGAGAAAGCCGTTCGGCTCTTCTCGCAATTGGAGCGGGCCCTTGACGCGGCTGCTGACGTTGCAGCCGTTGAAACAGCTGTCGCCGCTTTGCTGGCACCAGACGTACGCGCTGGAGCGTCGGCTGTAGTATCGGCTGTAGCGGATCGTGCGAGCAACACGTCGAGTCAAAACGCGTCGGCTGTAGCGGATCGTGCGAGCAGCGCAGTTGACGGAATCGGAGATGAAGCGTTCTCCACGGGCGTGAGAGACGCCGCTGCCGCTGTGACAGAAGCGAAGGCACCGATACTGTCACCTCTGCGCGTTCTGCTGTCGGACCACCTCGTGACGCTCTCGCACCTGCTTCTGTTCCGTCCGTACGACAGCCCCCTCCCTTTCCTCTTTTCCCTGCTATCCTTTTTAAGTCTCCTCAGCTTCTCTCTCCCACCTTTTCTCCGCCGCCCTCCTTATGAATCGCCAAAAAATCAAGTCGCGTCCTCTCCTCTTCCTTTCCTATCCGTCTCATTGCTTCCGAATCAAGCTTCTTTTATCCCCCTTCCCCCTCCCCGCCCTCCCCTTCCCCCTCCCCGCCCTCCCCTTCCCCATCCCTCCGCTTCCCCTCCCCTTCCCCTTCCCCCCTCCGTCCCGCTCCCCTTTCCCCCTCTCTTCCCTCTTCCCGTCCCCCTCCCCCCACCAGGAGCAGCGCCAGTGCTTCCCCCTTCCGCCCGCCGCGCCCTGCTCGACCCGCTCTTCGTCTCCGCGCCCCTCCAATCCGCGCTAGACGCCCTCCTCCCCCTCCTTTCCGCCTCCCCCTCCGCCTACACTGCCTTCGCGGACGAGGAGTTGCTTGAAGGGGAAGATGGGGGGAGGGAATTGGGGGGACATGGTGCGGAGGGGAGTGTGGGGAAGAATGTTAGCATCAGTGGTGGTGCTGCTGCTGCTTCTGGTGGTGGTGGTGGAGGGGTGTGTGAGAGGGTGGCGCAGGGGAAAAGGAGCAGCATTGCATGCAAGGAGGCTGAGAGGTAGGAACGTGTTTAGAACACGCAGGTAGTGGGCCTCCTGAGAATGGTCTAGTCCAATCCAGTCCAATTCAGTCCAATCCAGCCCCCCTCCCTCCCTCCCTCCCCCGCCCACCCATGCATCCACGCTTCCCTTCCTCTAGCATATTCCATTGAGATCTCTAATAATGGTCTAATAATGGTCTAATAATGGTCTAATAATGGTCTAATAATGGTCTAATAATGGTCTAATAATGGTCTAATAATGGTCTAATAAGGGGATCCACTTTCCCCTCCCTCCCTCCCTCCCTCCCTCCCTCCCTCCCTCCCTCCCTCCCTCCCTCCCTCCCTCCCTCCCTCCCTCCCTCCCTCCCTCCCTCCCTCCCTCCCTCCCTCCTTCCCTCCCTCCCTCCCTCCCTCCTTCCCTCCCTCCCTCCCTCCCACCCCCGCCCGCCTCTGCCTGCCCATTCGTCCAGGCTGCTGCTCCTCGCCATCTTTGGTTCACCTGACGGCTCCACACTCGATGCGGTCAGGCCACGCAAAGAGTGCACGCCTGCAACGTCCACTCCTGACACGTGTCCAAACGTTACTGGGCCAGGGAGCATGGCCGGAGCAGCTGGGTGCATGGAGGCCCTTGTGAAGCCAGGGGGCTTGCACATATTCTTGGTCCACGTGGAATCAAGTGGGTGCACGTCAGCAGCGTCCGCCACGTCAGCAGGGGGGTGGAGAGGAGAGTACAGCGTGGAGAGAGTGGTGTCCCAGCTGGCGTCGGTGACCGATAGGGCATCACCACGTGCTCCTCCTGCCCTGCGTGCTCCGTGAGTCTGTTCACCCACCCATTCTCTTCCCCACTTCCCTGCGTGCTCCTTGCTTGTGCTTCCCCACTTGCACGGCCGCGTCCTGCTCTTATTCCGAAACGTCTAGTCTAGAAACTAGGGCGTCGCCACCAGTCAATTGTTCCATACGCGTTATAACTTCATTACTCATTCTATCCCAATGACCCATCTGCGCCCCACCAGTCAATTGTTCCATACGCGTTATAACTTCATTACTCATTCTATCCCAATGACCCATCTGCGCCCCACCAGTCAATTGTTCCATACGCGTTATAACTTCATTACTCATTCTATCCCAATGACCCATCTGCGCCCCACAAGTCAATTGTTCCATACGCGTTATAACTTCATTACTCATTCTATCCCAATGACCCATCTGCGCCCCACCAGTCACTTCGTCTCGTCTCTCATCCGCCTGGCTCTCGCCACCACTTCCGCCATCGCTGCCTCTCGCTCCTCTGCACCAGCTTCCCCCTCGCCTCCCTCCTGCCCTACAAGCGTCTCCCCTGGCACTAGCACTAGCGGCACTAGCAGCCGCGATAGCATCAGCAGCAGCAGCGGTGGCAGCAGCACCAAAACCACCGCCACCACCACTCACCAACATACCAGCAATATCAGCAGCAGCTGTGGTGGCGGCGTGTCCCCAGAGGCGTTTGTCGGGCAGCTGGTGGCCAGGCTGTGCCACAGGGGGCATGCGGGTGAGTGGTGGGGTGAGGCGTGTAGGAGTGAGTGAGGTATGGTGCGTTGAAGTATGGTGGGGTGAGATATGGTGGGGTGACGTAGGGTAGGGTGAGGAATTTTAGGGTGACGCCTGGTGGTTGCATGCATGCTTGTGAGTGAGGGAGGGGTTCTAATCTCAGACTTTATTCCCCGACTAAGTAATCTGCGAACCCCCTTGCAATCTCTCTCCATCCTCCTTTCCATCCACCACCCTGTTCTCTCCCTTTCTTTTCTCTACTCCTCCTCTCCCTCCACCCTCTATGCTTGCCATGTGTGCCTCTCCCCCAGCAACGGTGGCATCCGAGCTCGTCCACACAATCATCCGACAGCTGGCACACGCCACGTCAGCACCGACACACAACAGCACCAGTGGCACCACTACCAACAGAAGCTCCGCCTTCCCGCATCTCTCCTCTCTCTACTCCACCATCATCGCCTCCCTCGCTGCTGCTGACTCCTTCCCCCTTCACCAGCTGGCAGAGGCCCTCCTCTCCCACCTCGCTGCCCTCGCTGCTGCTCTTGCCACCGCTCCTCCCGCTGCCAGCAGCACCGCCAGTACCACGGCCAACAGCACGAGTAGCAGCAGTGTCCCAGGGACTGTGTTGCAGCTGCTGTTTCAGGGGTTACTGACTCAGCAGCACCCTCAAGCAGTGTGAGTTGATGCATAAGGCAGGCTGCTTGAGGCATCTCTTTGTGTTTCAACTCACACAAAGAGATGCCAATCTCTGCATTGCTGCTTCGCTGTTTCACTCCACCCTGTGGTTGATCGGATCTGAATATTTTGAGTTGGTTTTTGCTGCTTCCGCATGCTGCAGGCTGTTGAGACCAACTCAAAAACCAATTCAAAAGTCTTCACGCCACCCTATGGTTGAACTGATCTGAATCGCACAATCACTCTCCTCTCCCACCCTCTCTCCTCCGCCCCTCAACCAATTGTTGCAGGTACCTTTTCACTTCACACCTCCTCACTCGCTCCCTCCTTCCCCTCCCCTGCCTGTCTTGGATTGTCACCCTTCTCTCTTCCTCCTCCTCACCCTCTGCTGACGAATCCTCTGCACCCGAGCCAATGGGGTTGTGCCACGTGGCACTTCAACATGTGTTGCGCATGTGGAGCTCAACGGCACTCGTCCAGTCATCTTCCATGGAAAAGCAAATCTGTGAGTGAGCAAGAATAAGAAAGGATCGGATTTGCTTATTTAGAAGACGAGTTACTCATCCCTCGTCGTTTTTTCATCTGCCATCCTGTTTTTCCCAAGGTTGTGCTTTCCTTTCCCTTACTCCATTCCCTTCTTTTCTGATTTGGGCCCCCTTCCTCTTCCCGTTCCTGTCCTCCTGGCAGATGTGACAGCCGCAGCAGGTTTCCTCCTCACTCTCCCCTGCCACCAAAACCCGCAAGCACTGTCTTCATCTGCGCCCATTCGCATGCACCCATCGCTGCTCACAATGCTTCTCAAGGGCGTCTCTAGTAAGTTGCCGTACTGTGAGAGTGTAAGTGCACTCGCATGTCTTGTGTTGTGATAGCGCAGGTGCGAGTGCATTGTGCATTGTGCACTGTGCATTGTGCACTGTGCATTGTGCACTGTGCATAGTGCACTGTGGATTGTTCATTTGTGCATTGTGCACTGTGCATTGTTCATTTGTGCATTGTGCTCTGTGCATTGTTCATTTGTGCATTGTGCACTGTGCATTATTCATTTGTGCATTGTGCACTGTGCATTATTCATTTGTGCATTGTGCACTGTGCATTATTCATTTGTGCATTTTGCACTGTGCATTATTCATTTGTGCATTTTGCACTGTGCATTATTCATTTGTGCATTTTGCACGTTTGAGGCATCTCAATTTCTCAGCGGCTGCGCACCCCGACACCTTTCCCCCCCTTTTTTTGCTGAGAATGTGCAGTGCGGTTGGAGAGCCCTCTGCCTCTGGTGCGCCTGATGGGTCAGCGCCTCGCCTTTGCCTTCTCTGTGGCTGTGCACCCTGACCGCCCCCCCATGCTGTTCGGCGAATTTTCATACGAGGGAGGGATGGTCGCCGGAAGGGAGGAGGGGAAGAGAGGAGGGAGTGGAGGAAGTGGGGGGGGTGCAGCTACTGTTGAATCGACGCACGAGGCAGCTATTGCTGCTGCCCTTGATTTTTCACGAGGATGGGATTTTGGGGGGACGGCAGATCAGGAGCGTAGAGAGGAGAAGGGGGGAAGGGAAGGGGCGAAGGGGGTTGGTAGGGATGGTGGGGGAGACGAGAATGGTGAAGTGGAGAAGGGAGCAGGAGAAGAAGGGGATGTGATCAAAGAAGAAAGGGAGGAGGATGAGAGTGAGGGAGGGAGTGAGGAAGGGAGTGAGGAGGAGAGTGAGGAAGAGTGGAGTGAGGAGGACTGGGATGAGGAGGAAGAGGAGAGTGACGAGGAGTCAGACGAGGATGAGAGGAGTGTGGGTATGGGCATGGGAGTGGGCATGGGAGTGGGTGTGGGTATGAGTGGGGAGGGGAGGGGAATGGCGGCACCCATGCAGCTGCGCTACTGTGCAGCAGACCTGAGGAAGGCAGATGACGTCAGTGCGGTGAGTGTTGCTAAGGATTTTGTCTACTTCGAAACATTGCTGCTCCCTCTCTTGCTCTCTCTCTTGCTGCCGGTTCTCCCTCTCTTGCTCCCTCCCTCTTGCTCCCTCTCTCTTGCTCCCTCCCTCTTGCTCCCTCTCTCTTGCTCCCTCCCTCTTGCTCCCTCTCTCTTGCTCCCTCCCTCTTGCTCCCTCTCTCTTGCTCCCTCTCTCTTGCTCCCTCTCTCTTGCTCCCTCTCTCTTGCTCCCTCTCTCTTGCTCCCTCTCTCTTGCTCCCTCTCTCTTGCTCCCTCTCTCTTGCTCCCTCTCTCTTGCTCCCTCTCTCTTGCTCCCTCTCTCTTGCTCCCTCTCTCTTGCTCCCTCTCTCTTGCTGCCGGTTCCCCCTCTCTTGTCGCGACCTTCTGTGTTGCTACTGCTTTACCCAAGCCTTATTATGACGAAAGAACTCAAATTTTGTCTTGTTATGCTTGGACCTTCATTAACAGATGGAGCGAGCGCTTCTGTCCCTTGAACCAATGATCCGCTGCCAACCGGACGAGCTGGATGACGTGGCAGCTGAGCTGGCGCGCTCCCTTATCCACATGCAGTGCCAGTTCCTCCTGAAAGGGGAAGAACCGGAGGGGGAGGAAGGTGGGGAGGAGGGCGAGGAGGAGAGTGGGAGCGAGAGAGGCGAGGATGAGGAAGAAGGTGAGGTGGCGGAGTGTGAGGTAGAAGAATGGAGCTCTTTCAGTAAAAAGGAGAAGGGCAGCAGGGGAGAAAAAGGAGCCGCGCAAAGGGAAGGAGGCAGCGTGCGAGGCGGAGAAGGAAGGGGAGGAGGGCAGGGTGCAGTGGGAGCAGAGGAGAAGAGGAGAGCAGCGCTGGTGGCTCTGGTTGTCTTTTCCCCTGTGGCATCTCTGGAGGTGCTTCTGGGGGAGGTGTTTTCTGCCCACGTGGACCTCAGTCAACGCCTGCTCATCCTGGACGTCCTCGAAGCAGCTGCTATCGAACTCGCCTCCTACTCCTCCTCCTCCGCCTCCCCTTCCTCCTCTTCTTCCTCTGCTGCTGCCACACTCGCTCAACCACTCTCTTCCTCCTCGCTTTCCACCTCTCGCTCGCACACTCCCTTGATAGTGGAGATTCACACTGGGCCGACACCTTGGGATCATCCCGCACACTCCCTCTCCCCTTCCCCTCCCGGTGCTGGTAAATGGGTTCAGCTGCCCGGGATTCTGCCTGGAGATCTCGGGCAGCCCGAGATGGCGAAGGCAATGTTAGCAGCAGCAGATGGAGGAGGGTTCGGTCTGACTGGGCTCGCGGGCAGCTGGACAAAAAGTTTCACAAGAGACCTGCCCCGGCGCCCTGGTGACCGCATCCTCGGGCAGGAGAAACGAACCTCTAAAACAATCGAATCTGCAAGAGAGAAGCTTCAAGGAAGCAGCGGTCAGAACCAGCAGCTGCACAGTCAGCGCGATGTGTCCACGTGTACCCCTCCACGCGTGCGATTCGCTGACGTGGCGGCGGGGTTCATGCTGCCGCTGATGCGAGCGTACGACAGGCAGAGCCACGGGGTGGACTGGGTGGGGCGGGACTTTGTGGTGCTCGCCCGCGTGCTGCTGCTGCTGGGGAAATGCCTGCGCCTCGTTGGCCCCGCGCCATCTCTTCTCCCCCTCGCCGCTGCTCTGCTGGAGTTTATCAACGCCAGGTGAGTGGCTTGGCGTCGAGGTTGGACTTGCTTGGTGTGGCTGGTGGTCACTGACTTTGTGCTGCTCGCCCGCGTGCTGCTGCTGCTGGGGAAATGCCTGCGCCTCGTTGGCCCCGCGCCATCTCTTCTCCCCCTCGCCGCTGCTCTGCTGGAGTTTATCAACGCCAGGTGAGTGGCTTGGCGTCGAGGTTGGACTTGCTTGGTGTGGCTCGTCACTGACTTTGTGGTGCTCGCCCGCGTGCTGCTGCTGCGCCTCGTCGCCCCCGCGCCAGCTCTGCTCCCCCTCGCTGCTGCTCTTCTCGAATTCCTCAATGCAAGGTGAGGGCTTTTGAGGTTGGGCTTGCATGGTGTGTGCCTGTGGTCAGTGTGTGGCGAGTCTGTGCAATGTGGTGATGCGGGTGTGTGCAACAGACAGGCAGAGCCACGGGGTGGGACTGGGTGGGGCGGGACTTTGTAATTCTCGCGCGCGTGATGCTGCTTCTCGGGAAATGCCTGCGCCTCCTCGCCCCGTCGCCAGCCCTGCTCCCCCTTGCGGCTGCTCTGCTGGAATTTCTCACACGCCAGGTGAGTGGCTTCGTGGTGCCTTCACTCCACCCCCTCGTCGTCATCACCCTCGCCCTCTCCCCCGTCCCTCCCTCCCTGCAGTCTCATCGCGCTGCAACCAGAGCCCTACATGCACCGCTGTGGTTTTGAGACGTCGCAGAACCACAGCCCAACATGCACCGCTGTGCCATCTTCACTGAGCCTCAAGTATAGTGTTTATATACCCCCCTCCATCTCTCAATCCCCTCTTCCCCACCTTATTTCTCTCCCAATTTCTTCCCACCCCTGCAGCCCCATCGCTCAGCACCCAGAGCCCTACGTGCAGCATTGTGCCATCTTTGCTGCAGCCCCAAGAGTGAGCTTCAAATCTCCCCCTAGTCAACCCTCTTTTTCCTTTCTCCCCCACCTGACCTCTCTCCCATTCCCTTCACCCCTCCCCCCTTCCCTGCAGTCCCATCGCCCAGCATCCAGAGCCCTACGTGCAGCGCTGTGCCATCTTCGCTACAGCCTCGCTGCTGCTCTCCTTGCCCCCTGCTGCAGTCGCCGCTGATGGGCTCCTCCTCTCCTCTGCTGCTGCTTCTGTTGCTTCTGGAGGCACCGCAACCACTGGATTTGGCGCTATTGCTGCAGCTGGCGGTGCTGGGGGTGGTGGTGCTGGGGGTGCAGGCGTCGGGCTGTCAGGGATGCTGAGAGTGATGGCAGCATGGTTGGGGAGACGGGCGGAGGAGAGTGGGGACGAGCAGACCAAAGCGGTGAGTGCTGAGATGAAAGTGGTGCTGCTGGTGGTGCTACTGGGGGTGTTGGGGATGCAGGGGTGGGGCTGTCAGGGATGCTGCTGCGGGTGATGGCAGCATGGTTGGGGAGACGGGCGGAGGAGAGCGGGGACGAGCAGACCAAATCGGTGAGTGCTGAGAGTGGTGACAAGCAGACCAGAGTGCTGAACACTCTTGCTTTCGCCTGTCTGCTTTTCCCCGCATCCCACCCCAACCCTCTCTCCTGCTCTTCCCCTGCTGCCCCTCCTTCCTCCCCCTCCTGCCTTCCTCGTTCCCCTTACTTTCAAGCCCCACCAAACCCCATCCTCTCACATCCAGCCAGGTGGCCTTTGCATACCTGCAGCTGTACTACGATTTCGCCAGCGCATGCCTTTTCGTAGTTCACTAAAAAGTCCCCTTTTTTCTCCCGTCCTTCGCTGCCTTTGCCCACCTGTCCTTCCAGATGGCCTTCGGGTGCTTACAGCTGTACGATGATTTCACTAGGGCGTGCCTGCAAGCAGTGCTTGGCGGCACCCCCACGTGACAGTGGAGTGACTCGCTTCCACTTATTGATTTGCCCCAGGAGTCGTGCCTGCAAAGCAAACAGTGCTTTTCACGCCCATGTGTCAGAGGTGTGAGCGAGTGACTGCCACTGTGCGTGGCAAAGTTACTCTTCTCGAGTCTGCTCAAAACTGGTTAGCCATGACATGCTTGCAGCAGGTTGGCTGGCACCTGCACTTCGAAACTGACCCTACCAACTTACCAAGCCTAGGCCACTAGTGTTGGTTGGCTGGCTGAAGAAAACAAAGAAAACAAAGAAAGCATAGAAATCAAAGCAAGAAAAGCATGTACTCTCTTCCCTGCATGCCTGCCATTGCCGTACTGTACCCTGTATCCATTCACTGCACCACCTGCCTTCTCCCAACAGTGCATCACGATAATAACGACAATAAGGTGCAGCGTACCCACATTGACAAGTCAGCCTGTAACCGTAATGTAGGAATAATACCAATACCCACCACATTGATGCTGCATTGACAAGGTGCTTCTTAACCCACATCGACAAGTCAGCCTGTTTGCTGGTATGTTTCGTTCTGAGCCCTGTGACAAGCAGCGACAAAAGCTAGTACAAGCCTCCTGCTGTTCTGAAACTCGGCACACATAGCCGGTACCACGAACTTCTTTCCCACATCCTCCTGCCCTCACATCTTTCCCTCACATTCGCCTGCTGTTGTTTCTTGAATCCCCTGCTGCGCTATCTCTGCGAGAACTGGCTCCTCTTGCAGCTCCAGGGCCTTTTGAGGCGCTTAATAAGCCTGCTGTTGTTAGGCGCCTAATAATCTGCCTCCCACATTCCCCTGTCCTCACACCTCCTGCTGCTGTCCTCACATCCGCCTGCTGTTGTTTCTTGAATCCTCCCCAGCTTCACTGTCTCTGCGTGCGCTGCCCCCCCCAACCTGCAACTCCAGCGCCTTGCGCACCACCAGCTGCATGCGGTTCTGATTCACTGCACTCATAACCTGTAGGAGGGGTGGTTATAACGAGGATGGGTGCAGTTAGTGCTTAGCACCATCAGCTGCATGTGATTCTGGTTCACCGCGCTCATACCCTGTAGGAGGGGTGGTTATAACGAGGATAATTGCAGTTATATGCTGTGCAGGTGCTACAGAGTGGTAAAAGCAAAGATGGTCCATATCTCTCACCTGTTGAATGGGGAGTGTGTATTTCGTGTATAACACCTGTTCTAAAGTACCACCTCAAAGCAAGACGTTTTCAAGGGCGAATTTAAAAGCCACCGGTCCATATAGCTCACCTGCTGGATGGTCAGTCCGTATTTCTTTCTGAGGTGCCGCCTCCATGCGAGCTGGATGGTTCTGGCGGCGTGTGTGCGCCGGTTGTGACAGCACTCACTGGAACACACACACGCGATGAGACGAGCGGGTTTTGAGGGAAACGTTGGGGAAGAGAAATGGATGTTAGAGATGAAGAGAGCGAGCTACAGATGGAGATAAAAGGCCCAGACAGACACATAGACAACTGTAATGTAAGTCTGTCAGCAACTGGCACAATGACGTATGACCAGCCACTAGACACCAGACAACGTCCATATCACCACCACCTACTTGAGCGCCGCCTGGATCTTGCTGGTCGCAAGCATTCGAGCAAACTGCCGGCACACCACAGCCACATCGGTGGCTTCGAGCTCGTAGCCCTCCACGGGCCCGATGCACCGCACCGTGCGCTGCGCTGTTGGCAGCACGTCGATCGCCAAAGTGCCCAGTGCTGCTGCTGACGCTGAAGCACTCGCACCCATCGTTACCGCTGCATGGGGAATGAGGAATGGGGGAAGTAGAGGAAACATGGTCACAGCTGCAGGTCGGATCAGGTGAGGTCAGATCAGGTCAGATCCAGATTAGGACAGATCCGATTAGGGATGAGCAAGGGGCGAACACGAACATGTTCGCGTTCGCCCCAGCTCGAACACTGCCGTTCGGCGAACCGAACACTGTTTGGTTCGCCGAACACTTTTTACAAAAAAGGGTGTTCGATGTTCGCCTGTGAGGGCGAACATCTTGCATGCTAAGGCGAACACGAACGTGTTCGCCCCTGGGCATCCTTTGTTATGCTCGAAATACGCAACGGCGGGCAGGGGAATTGCGGGAAACTGGGGGAAAATATCTAGGCTGGATCAGCATTTTGCGAGATCTAGTTACGGATCCATAGTTTTTTTTATCCAGCTCGCCACCTGGATCTTGCTCCCTCTCTCTTGCTCCCTCTCTCTTGCTCCCTCTCTCTTGCTCCCTCTCTCTTGCTCCCTCTCTCTTGCTCCCTCTCTCTTGCTGCCGGTTCCCCCTCTCTTGTCGCGACCTTCTGTGTTGCTACTGCTTTACCCAAGCCTTATTATGACGAAAGAACTCAAATTTTGTCTTGTTATGCTTGGACCTTCATTAACAGATGGAGCGAGCGCTTCTGTCCCTTGAACCAATGATCCGCTGCCAACCGGACGAGCTGGATGACGTGGCAGCTGAGCTGGCGCGCTCCCTTATCCACATGCAGTGCCAGTTCCTCCTGAAAGGGGAAGAACCGGAGGGGGAGGAAGGTGGGGAGGAGGGCGAGGAGGAGAGTGGGAGCGAGAGAGGCGAGGATGAGGAAGAAGGTGAGGTGGTGGAGTGTGAGGTAGAAGAATGGAGCTCTTTCAGTAAAAAGGAGAAGGGCAGCAGGGGAGAAAAAGGAGCCGCGCAAAGGGAAGGAGGCAGCGTGCGAGGCGGAGAAGGAAGGGGAGGAGGGCAGGGTGCAGTGGGAGCAGAGGAGAAGAGGAGAGCAGCGCTGGTGGCTCTGGTTGTCTTTTCCCCTGTGGCATCTCTGGAGGTGCTTCTGGGGGAGGTGTTTTCTGCCCACGTGGACCTCAGTCAACGCCTGCTCATCCTGGACGTCCTCGAAGCAGCTGCTATCGAACTCGCCTCCTACTCCTCCTCCTCCGCCTCCCCTTCCTCCTCTTCTTCCTCTGCTGCTGCCACACTCGCTCAACCACTCTCTTCCTCCTCGCTTTCCACCTCTCGCTCGCACACTCCCTTGATAGTGGAGATTCACACTGGGCCGACACCTTGGGATCATCCCGCACACTCCCTCTCCCCTTCCCCTCCCGGTGCTGGTAAATGGGTTCAGCTGCCCGGGATTCTGCCTGGAGATCTCGGGCAGCCCGAGATGGCGAAGGCAATGTTAGCAGCAGCAGATGGAGGAGGGTTCGGTCTGACTGGGCTCGCGGGCAGCTGGACAAAAAGTTTCACAAGAGACCTGCCCCGGCGCCCTGGTGACCGCATCCTCGGGCAGGAGAAACGAACCTCTAAAACAATCGAATCTGCAAGAGAGAAGCTTCAAGGAAGCAGCGGTCAGAACCAGCAGCTGCACAGTCAGCGCGATGTGTCCACGTGTACCCCTCCACGCGTGCGATTCGCTGACGTGGCGGCGGGGTTCATGCTGCCGCTGATGCGAGCGTACGACAGGCAGAGCCACGGGGTGGACTGGGTGGGGCGGGACTTTGTGGTGCTCGCCCGCGTGCTGCTGCTGCTGGGGAAATGCCTGCGCCTCGTTGGCCCCGCGCCATCTCTTCTCCCCCTCGCCGCTGCTCTGCTGGAGTTTATCAACGCCAGGTGAGTGGCTTGGCGTCGAGGTTGGACTTGCTTGGTGTGGCTGGTGGTCACTGACTTTGTGCTGCTCGCCCGCGTGCTGCTGCTGCTGGGGAAATGCCTGCGCCTCGTTGGCCCCGCGCCATCTCTTCTCCCCCTCGCCGCTGCTCTGCTGGAGTTTATCAACGCCAGGTGAGTGGCTTGGCGTCGAGGTTGGACTTGCTTGGTGTGGCTCGTCACTGACTTTGTGGTGCTCGCCCGCGTGCTGCTGCTGCGCCTCGTCGCCCCCGCGCCAGCTCTGCTCCCCCTCGCTGCTGCTCTTCTCGAATTCCTCAATGCAAGGTGAGGGCTTTTGAGGTTGGGCTTGCATGGTGTGTGCCTGTGGTCAGTGTGTGGCGAGTCTGTGCAATGTGGTGATGCGGGTGTGTGCAACAGACAGGCAGAGCCACGGGGTGGGACTGGGTGGGGCGGGACTTTGTAATTCTCGCGCGCGTGATGCTGCTTCTCGGGAAATGCCTGCGCCTCCTCGCCCCGTCGCCAGCCCTGCTCCCCCTTGCGGCTGCTCTGCTGGAATTTCTCACACGCCAGGTGAGTGGCTTCGTGGTGCCTTCACTCCACCCCCTCGTCGTCATCACCCTCGCCCTCTCCCCCGTCCCTCCCTCCCTGCAGTCTCATCGCGCTGCAACCAGAGCCCTACATGCACCGCTGTGGTTTTGAGACGTCGCAGAACCACAGCCCAACATGCACCGCTGTGCCATCTTCACTGAGCCTCAAGTATAGTGTTTATATACCCCCCTCCATCTCTCAATCCCCTCTTCCCCACCTTATTTCTCTCCCAATTTCTTCCCACCCCTGCAGCCCCATCGCTCAGCACCCAGAGCCCTACGTGCAGCATTGTGCCATCTTTGCTGCAGCCCCAAGAGTGAGCTTCAAATCTCCCCCTAGTCAACCCTCTTTTTCCTTTCTCCCCCACCTGACCTCTCTCCCATTCCCTTCACCCCTCCCCCCTTCCCTGCAGTCCCATCGCCCAGCATCCAGAGCCCTACGTGCAGCGCTGTGCCATCTTCGCTACAGCCTCGCTGCTGCTCTCCTTGCCCCCTGCTGCAGTCGCCGCTGATGGGCTCCTCCTCTCCTCTGCTGCTGCTTCTGTTGCTTCTGGAGGCACCGCAACCACTGGATTTGGCGCTATTGCTGCAGCTGGCGGTGCTGGGGGTGGTGGTGCTGGGGGTGCAGGCGTCGGGCTGTCAGGGATGCTGAGAGTGATGGCAGCATGGTTGGGGAGACGGGCGGAGGAGAGTGGGGACGAGCAGACCAAAGCGGTGAGTGCTGAGATGAAAGTGGTGCTGCTGGTGGTGCTACTGGGGGTGTTGGGGATGCAGGGGTGGGGCTGTCAGGGATGCTGCTGCGGGTGATGGCAGCATGGTTGGGGAGACGGGCGGAGGAGAGCGGGGACGAGCAGACCAAATCGGTGAGTGCTGAGAGTGGTGACAAGCAGACCAGAGTGCTGAACACTCTTGCTTTCGCCTGTCTGCTTTTCCCCGCATCCCACCCCAACCCTCTCTCCTGCTCTTCCCCTGCTGCCCCTCCTTCCTCCCCCTCCTGCCTTCCTCGTTCCCCTTACTTTCAAGCCCCACCAAACCCCATCCTCTCACATCCAGCCAGGTGGCCTTTGCATACCTGCAGCTGTACTACGATTTCGCCAGCGCATGCCTTTTCGTAGTTCACTAAAAAGTCCCCTTTTTTCTCCCGTCCTTCGCTGCCTTTGCCCACCTGTCCTTCCAGATGGCCTTCGGGTGCTTACAGCTGTACGATGATTTCACTAGGGCGTGCCTGCAAGCAGTGCTTGGCGGCACCCCCACGTGACAGTGGAGTGACTCGCTTCCACTTATTGATTTGCCCCAGGAGTCGTGCCTGCAAAGCAAACAGTGCTTTTCACGCCCATGTGTCAGAGGTGTGAGCGAGTGACTGCCACTGTGCGTGGCAAAGTTACTCTTCTCGAGTCTGCTCAAAACTGGTTAGCCATGACATGCTTGCAGCAGGTTGGCTGGCACCTGCACTTCGAAACTGACCCTACCAACTTACCAAGCCTAGGCCACTAGTGTTGGTTGGCTGGCTGAAGAAAACAAAGAAAACAAAGAAAGCATAGAAATCAAAGCAAGAAAAGCATGTACTCTCTTCCCTGCATGCCTGCCATTGCCGTACTGTACCCTGTATCCATTCACTGCACCACCTGCCTTCTCCCAACAGTGCATCACGATAATAACGACAATAAGGTGCAGCGTACCCACATTGACAAGTCAGCCTGTAACCGTAATGTAGGAATAATACCAATACCCACCACATTGATGCTGCATTGACAAGGTGCTTCTTAACCCACATCGACAAGTCAGCCTGTTTGCTGGTATGTTTCGTTCTGAGCCCTGTGACAAGCAGCGACAAAAGCTAGTACAAGCCTCCTGCTGTTCTGAAACTCGGCACACATAGCCGGTACCACGAACTTCTTTCCCACATCCTCCTGCCCTCACATCTTTCCCTCACATTCGCCTGCTGTTGTTTCTTGAATCCCCTGCTGCGCTATCTCTGCGAGAACTGGCTCCTCTTGCAGCTCCAGGGCCTTTTGAGGCGCTTAATAAGCCTGCTGTTGTTAGGCGCCTAATAATCTGCCTCCCACATTCCCCTGTCCTCACACCTCCTGCTGCTGTCCTCACATCCGCCTGCTGTTGTTTCTTGAATCCTCCCCAGCTTCACTGTCTCTGCGTGCGCTGCCCCCCCCAACCTGCAACTCCAGCGCCTTGCGCACCACCAGCTGCATGCGGTTCTGATTCACTGCACTCATAACCTGTAGGAGGGGTGGTTATAACGAGGATGGGTGCAGTTAGTGCTTAGCACCATCAGCTGCATGTGATTCTGGTTCACCGCGCTCATACCCTGTAGGAGGGGTGGTTATAACGAGGATAATTGCAGTTATATGCTGTGCAGGTGCTACAGAGTGGTAAAAGCAAAGATGGTCCATATCTCTCACCTGTTGAATGGGGAGTGTGTATTTCGTGTATAACACCTGTTCTAAAGTACCACCTCAAAGCAAGACGTTTTCAAGGGCGAATTTAAAAGCCACCGGTCCATATAGCTCACCTGCTGGATGGTCAGTCCGTATTTCTTTCTGAGGTGCCGCCTCCATGCGAGCTGGATGGTTCTGGCGGCGTGTGTGCGCCGGTTGTGACAGCACTCACTGGAACACACACACGCGATGAGACGAGCGGGTTTTGAGGGAAACGTTGGGGAAGAGAAATGGATGTTAGAGATGAAGAGAGCGAGCTACAGATGGAGATAAAAGGCCCAGACAGACACATAGACAACTGTAATGTAAGTCTGTCAGCAACTGGCACAATGACGTATGACCAGCCACTAGACACCAGACAACGTCCATATCACCACCACCTACTTGAGCGCCGCCTGGATCTTGCTGGTCGCAAGCATTCGAGCAAACTGCCGGCACACCACAGCCACATCGGTGGCTTCGAGCTCGTAGCCCTCCACGGGCCCGATGCACCGCACCGTGCGCTGCGCTGTTGGCAGCACGTCGATCGCCAAAGTGCCCAGTGCTGCTGCTGACGCTGAAGCACTCGCACCCATCGTTACCGCTGCATGGGGAATGAGGAATGGGGGAAGTAGAGGAAACATGGTCACAGCTGCAGGTCGGATCAGGTGAGGTCAGATCAGGTCAGATCCAGATTAGGACAGATCCGATTAGGGATGAGCAAGGGGCGAACACGAACATGTTCGCGTTCGCCCCAGCTCGAACACTGCCGTTCGGCGAACCGAACACTGTTTGGTTCGCCGAACACTTTTTACAAAAAAGGGTGTTCGATGTTCGCCTGTGAGGGCGAACATCTTGCATGCTAAGGCGAACACGAACGTGTTCGCCCCTGGGCATCCTTTGTTATGCTCGAAATACGCAACGGCGGGCAGGGGAATTGCGGGAAACTGGGGGAAAATATCTAGGCTGGATCAGCATTTTGCGAGATCTAGTTACGGATCCATAGTTTTTTTTATCCAGCTCGCCACCTGGATTTCCCCCCACGTAAGGCGAAATGCTCTCCCCGTTCTATATCTACGAAATTTGCGATTGCTCGCCAACCCCCCGCAACCCCCCAACTCACGAAATATGCGAACGCTATTCCTCTCAATCCCATGCATACCAAATTTGCGAATGCTTACCCCCAACCCTCAACTTACGAGATTCGAGGATATCCCTGTCTAATTTTTTCCCGAAAACCTAAATCTCGCATACCCAAGTCTAGACAGACTAACCTAAGGTAACTACTTAATTACGCTAAGTCCTAATGAGGTGATAACGGCGTGATGTGTGGGGGGCGTGGTAGTAATGGCTGCTGCTGAATAGCGCGACTAAGTTGAGCTCAAACAGAATGTCCCGCAACGTAAATTGTAGATCGCGGGACAGTCGCGTCGAACACATTCGTGTTCGTTTTTGCCCCGAAATGAACACGAAGGCGTTCGTGTTCGACGCGGCTCGGCAGCAGTAGCGGGGCGAACACCGAACACGTTCGCCCCGAACATTTTTAGCCAAAAAAAAATCCTGTTCGTTCGAGGCGAACCGAACAGGTGTTCGTTTCCATGCTCATCCCTAGATCCGATCGGATCGGATCAAAATCAGGTCGGACTCACATCGGCCCAAATACCAGATGCTAGCCCTGGACCACACCCCAAGTGGGTACCACTCACATCGGCCCAGGTAGCGAATCTGGGTGCCTGAGCGCCGGCTCTTGTTGCCGTCCGACAGCTTCTCAAGATACTCCACCAGAAGCTCTTCCCCCAGGAAGTCCCCCTTCCCCAGCAGCACGCTGTCCACAAACCCGCATTGCTTGCTTCACAAGGCCCCATTATTCCACAAGGCCAGGAAGGAAGGGACTACTCACATCGGCCCAGGTAGCGAATCTGGGTGCCTGAGCGCCGGCTCTTGTTGCCATCCGACAGCTTCTCAAGGTACTCGACTAGAAGCTCCTCCCCCAGGAAGTCCCCCTTCCCCAGTAGCACGCTGTCCACAAAGCCTGCGCGCCCCCCGATGGTGGTGTAGCTCTCGAGCTGGCCGCGCAGCACGAAGAAGAGGCGCGACACGGGGTACCCCTCCTTGAGGATGACGGTGCCCTCTATGTACAGCTGCTGCCGCAGCTTCTCACAGAAGGCATCGAGGACTTGCGGCTCCATGGCGAAAAAGAGGGCAGACTGGAGCAGGGGGTGGTTGGGGGGTGGGGTGGGGGTTTGGGGGTTGCAGTGGCTAAGTACCACACTCACACACTTCAGCACCCCCACTCACACACTGCAGCACCCCCACTCACACACTGCAGCACCCCCACTCACACACTGCAGCACCCCCACTCACACACTACAGCACCCCCACTCACACACTGCAGCACCCCCACTCACACACTGCAGCACCCCCACTCACACACTGCAGCACCCCCACTCACACATTACAGCACCCCCACTCACACACTGCAGCACCCCCACTCACACACTGCAGCACCCCCACTCACACACTGCAGCACCCCCACTCACACACTGCAGCACCCCCACTCACACGCTGCAGCACCCCCACTCACACACTGCAGCACCCCCACTCACACACTGCAGCACCCCCACTCACACACTGCAGCACCACCACTCACACACTGCAGCACCACCACTCGCACACTCCAGCACCACCACTCGCACACTGCAGCACCACCACTCGCACACTGCAGCAACCCCACTCGCACACTGCAGCACCACCACTCGCACACTCCAGCACCACCACTCGCACACTGCAGCACCACCACTCGCACACTGCAGCACCCCCACTCGCACACTGCAGCGCCCCCACTCGCACACTGCAGCACCACCACTCGCACACTGCAGCACCCCCACTCGCACACTGCAGCACCCCCACTCGCACACTGCAGCACCACCACTCACACACCGCAGCACCACCACTCGCACACTACAGCACCCCCACTCACACACTACAGCACCCCCACTCACACACTGCAGCACCCCCACTCACACACTGCAGCACCCCCACTCACACACTGCAGCACCCCCACTCACACACTACAGCACCCCCACTCACACACTGCAGCACCCCCACTCACACACTGCAGCACCCCCACTCACACACTGCAGCACCCCCACTCACACACTGCAGCACCCCCACTCACACACTACAGCACCCTCACTCACACACTGCAGCACCCCCACTCACACACTGCAGCACCCCCACTCACACACTGCAGCACCCCCACTCACACACTACAGCACCCCCACTCACACACTGCAGCACCCCCACTCACACACTGCAGCACCCCCACTCACACACTGCAGCACCCCCACTCACACACTACAGCACCCCCACTCACACACTGCAGCACCCCCACTCACACACTGCAGCACCCCCACTCACACACTGCAGCACCCCCACTCACACACTACAGCACCCCCACTCACACACTGCAGCACCCCCACTCACACACTGCAGCACCCCCACTCACACACTGCAGCACCCCCACTCACACACTGCAGCACCCCCACTCACACACTGCAGCACCCCCACTCACACACTGCAGCACCCCCACTCACACACTGCAGCACCACCACTCACACACTGCAGCACCACCACTCGCACACTCCAGCACCACCACTCGCACACTGCAGCACCACCACTCGCACACTGCAGCACCCCCACTCGCACACTGCAGCACCACCACTCGCACACTCCAGCACCACCACTCGCACACTGCAGCACCACCACTCGCACACTGCAGCACCCCCACTCGCACACTGCAGCGCCCCCACTCGCACACTGCAGCACCACCACTCGCACACTGCAGCACCCCCACTCGCACACTGCAGCACCCCCACTCGCACACTGCAGCACCACCACTCACACACTGCAGCACCACCACTCGCACACTACAGCACCCCCACTCACACACTACAGCACCCCCACTCACACACTGCAGCACCCCCACTCACACACTGCAGCACCCCCACTCACACACTGCAGCACCCCCACTCACACACTACAGCACCCCCACTCACACACTGCAGCACCCCCACTCACACACTGCAGCACCCCCACTCACACACTGCAGCACCCCCACTCACACACTACAGCACCCCCACTCACACACTGCAGCACCCCCACTCACACACTGCAGCACCCCCACTCACACACTGCAGCACCACCACTCACACACTGCAGCACCACCACTCGCACACTCCAGCACCACCACTCGCACACTGCAGCACCACCACTCGCACACTGCAGCACCCCCACTCGCACACTGCAGCACCACCACTCGCACACTCCAGCACCACCACTCGCACACTGCAGCACCACCACTCGCACACTGCAGCACCCCCACTCGCACACTGCAGCGCCCCCACTCGCACACTGCAGCACCACCACTCGCACACTGCAGCACCCCCACTCGCACACTGCAGCACCCCCACTCGCACACTGCAGCACCACCACTCACACACTGCAGCACCACCACTCGCACACTACAGCACCCCCACTCACACACTACAGCACCCCCACTCACACACTGCAGCACCCCCACTCACACACTGCAGCACCCCCACTCACACACTGCAGCACCCCCACTCACACACTACAGCACCCCCACTCACACACTGCAGCACCCCCACTCACACACTGCAGCACCCCCACTCACACACTGCAGCACCCCCACTCACACACTGCAGCACCCCCACTCACACACTGCAGCACCCCCACTCACACACTGCAGCACCCCCACTCACACACTGCAGCACCACCACTCACACACTGCAGCACCACCACTCGCACACTCCAGCACCACCACTCGCACACTGCAGCACCACCACTCGCACACTGCAGCACCCCCACTCGCACACTGCAGCACCACCACTCGCACACTCCAGCACCACCACTCGCACACTGCAGCACCACCACTCGCACACTGCAGCACCCCCACTCGCACACTGCAGCGCCCCCACTCGCACACTGCAGCACCACCACTCGCACACTGCAGCACCCCCACTCGCACACTGCAGCACCCCCACTCGCACACTGCAGCACCACCACTCACACACTGCAGCACCACCACTCGCACACTCCAGCACCACCACTCGCACACTATAGCACCCCCACTCGCACACTGCAGCGCCCCCACTCGCACACTGCAGCACCACCACTCGCACACTGCAGCACCCCCACTCGCACACTGCAGCACCCCCACTCGCACACTGCAGCACCCCCACTCGCACACTGCAGCACCACCACTCGCACACTGCAGCACCACCACTCGCACACTGCAGCACCCCCACTCGCACACTGCAGCACCCCCACTCGCACACTGCAGCACCCCCACTCGCACACTGCAGCACCCCCACTCGCACACTGCAGCACCACCACTCGCACACTGCAGCACCCCCACTCGCACACTGCAGCACCCCCACTCGCACACTGCAGCACCACCACTCGCACCATGGCACTCACAAACTGCGCCACTCACGCATTGCAGCAGCTCGAGACACAGGCTGCGGCGCACGTCTGTCTGAATGTCATCTGAAAGCTTATCCAACACCTCCGCCTCCTCCACCCCCCTCGTCGCCACCCAGTGCAGCCGCTGCTGCTTCTGCACGCGCCTGGCAGACAGGGAGAGAGGGGAGGGGGGAAGCAGGGTTGGGGTGTGGGGAGGGGTGAAGAAGGGCAATGGAATGGTGATGCAATGGTGATGGAATGGAGGTGGAAAAAAACTTGTGTTAACTGCTCTAACTGAAACACGCATGGAAATCAAGTTGCTCACATCTTGAGTAGACTCAAAACTTTTGAGTTTTTTTAGTCGACTCAAAAGTAATCTAACTGGAACACGCATGGAAGTCAAGTTGCTCACATCCTGGAAATCGAATACCAGGACAGGATGTGCATGTGAGGGCGCGAGAACGATACGTGTGTGAGTGAGCGTACTTTTGAAGACTGAGAGGCAGGTTGCGTCGCTCCATCCATGAGTCAATGTCGTGGCGCTGTAACTGGTACTCAAAGGACCTGATGAAGGATTGAAACGAGGGGGAAGAGGGGCGAAAGAGGGGCGAAAGAGGAAGGTGGGAAAAGGGAGGGGAGGAGCAACACGGGTCGATGCCATGGCGCTGCAACTGGTACTCCAAGGACCTGGTGAAGGAGAGAGGGGGAGAGGGGAGCAAGGACGGGGGAGCAAGGAGGGGGAGGGGAGGAGTCACGACGCTGCAGCTGGTACTATAGGTCCTGGCAGTAAACGGGGGAGAGAGGGGTGGCAGGGGAGAAGGGTTGGAGGAGTAAGAGGGTGACTTCTGAGTGACTTCTGAGTGACTTCTGAGTGACTTCTGAGTGACTTCTGAGTGACTTTTGAGTGACTTTTGAGTTACTTTTGAGTGACTTTTGAGTGACTTTTGAGTGACTTTTGAGTGACTTTTGAGTGACTTCTGAGTGACTTTTGAGTGACTTTTGAGTGACTTTTGAGTGACTTTTGAGTGACTTCTGAGTGACTTTTGAGTGACTTTTGAGTGACTTTTGAGTGACTTTTGAGTGACTTTTGAGTGACTTTTGAGTGACTCTTGAGTGACTTTTGAGTGACTCTTGAGTGACTTTTGAGTGACTTTTGAGTGACTCTTGAGTGACTCTTGAGTGACTTTTGAGTGACTTTTGAGTGACTCTTGAGTGACTCTTGAGTGACTTTTGAGTGACTTTTGAGTGACTCTTGAGTGACTCTTGAGTGACTTTTGAGTGACTTTTGAGTCGACTCAAAAGTCACTTGGAGGAGTAAGAGGGCGACTTCTGAGTTGACTCAAACACAGGCCAGAAGCGTTACGTGAGGAGTGGAGAAGCAGATTGGAATGGAAATATAGACGAGGCAGTGGAGTGGAGATACGAAACAGGAACAACTTCCTGACACAAAATGCTTGCTGGAAAAAGAAAGAAAGAAAGAAAGAAAGAAAGAAAGAAAGAAAGAAAGAAAGAAAGAAAGAAAGAAAGAAAGAAAGAAAGGAAGGAAGAAAGAAAGAAAGAAAAACACACACACAGACACACACATGTTTCATCGAACTACACCTACCTTCTACTGAGAGCTTGTAGAAAGTTGGAGATGTTGCCAATAAGCAGTGCGAGCAGCACGAGCCCCAGCCCTATAACGAGGATGACAAAGAGCACCTCGGGATCCCACCTCGATGGCTCCAGGTTGCCTGCTAGCGTGCTCACTTGCTGTGTGTGTGGGGGGGGGAGGGGGGGGGGGGAGGGGGGGAGGAAGGGTGGGGGATGGAATGACAAGGGAGGGAGCCTATGTCTGAGGCGCCTGAAAAATAGACGGCTCCAGGTTGCTCACTTGCTGTGGGAAAGGGGGGTGGGGGGTTGATAGAAAGACACGAGAGTCATTTTCTGGGGCGAATCAAGAATAGACAGCTGCAGATTGGAACAAGGTGGAACAAGGTGGCCTTGTAACAAAAACAGACTGAGGCATACCCACGCACCTGGAAACCCCAAAAGGAGTGGATCTACTTGAGGTGTATTTTGAGGCGCCTCAAAATACCCACGCACCTGGAAACCCCAGAAGGAGTGGATCTACTTGGAGAGAAACGCCCCTTCTGCCACGAGGGGAGGTCGCTGATGTGTAGAGTCACGCACTAGTTACCAGGTGAGTGAGGTGAAGTCACCAGGTGGATAGGGTAGGGACGCACCTGGAAGCCCCAGAAGAAGGAGTAGATGTACTTGGAGAGGAACGTGCCTTCCACCACCAGAAGAACTGACCAACGCTTTGACCCACACACACACAAGTTGCCAGGTGAAGTCACCAAAAGAAGTTGCTGGGTGCCCACCTGGAAGCCCCAGAAGGAGTGGATCTACTTGGAAAGAAACGCCCCTTCTGCCACGAGGGGAGGTCGCTGATGTGTAGACGCAACGCAAACACTCGTTACCAGGTGAGGTGAAGTCACCCGGTGGATAGGGTAGGCACGCACCTGGAAAGGGAGGGACGCACCTGGAAGCCCCAGAAGAAGGAGTAGATGTATTTGGAGAGAAACGCCCCTTCCACCACGAGCGGAACCGCGTTGGTGAAGATGCCGTAATCGATTGGGGAGGGCGGGGCGTCACTGCTCGGATTGTCCAGCACCAGGCACGCGCTGGCAGGGCCTGTGGCCCACGCGGCCTCTGCTGCTGTGTTCTGGTAGGCGATGGCGTTTTGGTCGACGCAGTACATGTACTTGGGCTGACAGGCGTCGCCCTGAGTGGCACACTGGCCCGCCATACACGTGGTGAAGCGCTGGCGAGGGCATGGGAAAGGGGGTGTAGGGAGGGAGTGTAGGAAAGGGATGGGGATATATGGGGTGTACGTGGGGACGCGGGTGTTGAGAGAGGGTGCAGAAGGGGTGCAGACGGGGTGCAAGGAGGGAGTGGAATATAGGTAAGGGATGGGGATGTATGCGCTCATGCTGCCGCCTCTGCCGCACCCTCAGCTACCGCTGTGCTGCATGGGCGGGGGATTGAGATAGGGGGCAGAAGCAGTGGGGAGGTGCGAGCAAAGGGCAAGTGCAAGGCACGACAAGAGGCACTCACCGAGGCAGCGAGGAAGTACCACATGCTGCCGACGATGTTGGACGCCATGAGGTAGAACACAAAGTTGAGGAGGAAATTCGCCCACGCCGTCTCAAACACGAGCCCGGTGACGTGCGGCGCGTTGCCCGAGAGGATGGGGAAGAATCGGATGGCGCGGGGCACGTTCTGAGCGAAGAGGGCTGCGAGGCAGAGGACGGTCATGGCGACTCCGGTGTTGGAGGGGACTGATCGACCCATCATTGGCACTATCACCAGCATCACTATCTGGGAGGGGGGGGAGAGGGGTGGGAGGTGGGAGGCACAGGGAACGGGAAGAGCGGAAGTGGGGAGAGGGGAGAGGGGAGAGGTGAGAGGGGAGAGGGGAGAGGGGAGAGGGGAGAGGGGAGAGGGGAGAGGTGAGAGGTGAGAGGTGAGAGGTGAGAGGGGAGAGGGAAGAGAAGCGGGGGTAAGAAGACAACACAATGTGCAGATTGAGGGCACTGCGAGGCAGAGGACTATCATGGCGACCCCCATGTTCGACGGGACTGATCGACCCATCATTGGCACTATCACCAGCATCACTATCTGCGACGGTCAAGGGTGCGGGAAAGGCGGGGAGTGGAGGGAGAGGCGGGGAAGGGGGAGTAGAGAAAGGCCAGAAAGGGGTGTGGGGGGAGCACAGAAGGCCAGGCAACGAGAGGATGGGGAAGAAGCGGATGGCACAGAGTGCTGTGTGCAGAACAGGGAGTACCTGGATAGGTTTCACCTGTGGTGAGCCTCACCTGGGGGATGGGCAGGGCTGCCAGCACGTCAATGAGGTACCAGGAGCGCAGGTAGCGGCTGGGGCAGGCAGTACCTGAGATGAGATGTGGTGTACTGTGCTGCTTGAGGGGGAGGAAAGCAGTGCTGGAGTAGGGTGGCCCTCACCTGGGGGATGGGCAGCGCTGCCAGTACGTCAATGAGGAACCAGGAGCGCAGGTAGCGGCTGGCGATGACCCGCGCGTCAAACTCGAGGTCTCCCGGGCTCTGCAAGGAGCGGTCGGCCCACCAGCGGCGGAAGAAGCGGTTCTTGCGGTTGGTGGGGGGCGGCACTATGTAGGCCATACGGAACTGGGGAGAGTGAAGGAAAGTGGGGGGAAATGGGGCGGGAAGGTGGGGAGGGAGGTGATGGGAGAGGGTGGGAGGGAGAGAGGGATTGTTCTGCGGGTAGGAGTTTGAGGGTTTGGGGTTCGGGGTTTGGAAGAGAGGGATTGGAGGGGTGGTGGAAGAGGAGGGTGAGCTATTCTGGGCTCTGCAGACCAACCAGCGGCGGAAGAATCGGTTCTTGCGGTTGGTTGGGGGCGGCACGGCATGATGTAGGCCATGCGGAGAGGAACTGGTTGGGACGCAGAGGAAATGGGCGAGAATGGCTTTAAGAGGAGTCAAAAAGGTCACTGAGTTAGAGTGGGGGTTTAGGGTCAGGGTTTAAAGTGAAGGTTTGGAAGGGTGGAAGACGGTGGAAGAGGGTGCAATCATCAGGGCTCTGTTGGGTCGCCAGCTGGCAGCAGACGACAAAATATTGTGCCATTGGTTGGCTTGGTGGGGAGGCAATGTAGGCCATATGGAAGTGAGTGGGGGAAATTGGAAGGAAGATGATGCATTATTTAGGTGTCTGGAACAAAAGAGGAGGAAACGGGGGAGCGGAATGGGGTAAGGGTGGGTCGGTGGGATGATGCATGGAGCATGATATGAATGAATGAATGATGCAGCTCAAGCATGTCACTTAAAACCGGAACAACGTGGTGGGAACTGGGCTGGGCAGTGGTCGGTAAGCAAGCATCACCTAATGGACCACTGCACCATCACCTGGACGATGATCTCTGAATGACAATGACGTAGCCAAGGTCCACGATGGAGCACAGTACAATGAAGTGAAGGTGATGGCGAAGGCTTTCAGGCGCCTCAAAAGTGACCAGACCAGTGGTCAGTTAGTGCGTCATATGAACTTGGTGGGCGGGCGGGCACTCAACTGAACTGAACTGAACAGTGGTGGTGCGTAAGATTGGAGTGACTTTGAGAATTCTCAAAAGTCACTCCGTAAGATTGGAGTGACTTTTGAGAATTCTCAAAAGTCACTCCGTAAGATTGTCACCTGAACGACGATCTGAATGACGTAGCAGAGGTCCACAAAGGAGCGCAGCACAGTGAAGGTGATGGCTGCCGTCCAGTCCAGAGTGAGGCACAGCATGGCCTGGCGGGTCACGGTGGGGGGTGGGAGAGAATGGTTTGTGAGTCGACTCAATGGGTTGGACATTGCTTGAGTCAACCCAAGAAGCAGTGAAGGTGATGGCTGCTGTCCAGTCCAGAGTGAGGCACAGCATGCTCTCCTCCGTTCCCTCCCTCCCTCCCTCCATAACTCCCTCCCTCCCTCCCTCACCGGCTGGGGCGCCACTTGATTCAGCGCCTGGAGGGTGAAGAGGAACCAGGGGTCGATGGTGAAGCCGAGGATGCACGCCACCATGAACACCTTGTTCCACCGCGCCATGAACTTGGAGTGCTGCCATGCGCCCCGCTCCCTCCCTCTCTCGTTTGGTCACTCCCTCCCTCCCTCACTCCCTCCCTCACACCCTCACTCCCTCCCACACTCAATCCCTCACTCACTCTCTCCCTCCCTCCCTCACCGGCTGGGGCGCCACTTGATTCAGCGCCTGGAGGGTGAAGAGGAACCAGGGGTCGATGGTGAAGCCGAGGATGCACGCCACCATGAACACCTTGTTCCACCGCGCCATGAATTTAGAGTGCGGGTTCAGGATGCCCCACGGCTGCCACAGCATGCTGATGGGCTGAAAGAAGTCCTGAACGTCCTGCCAAGCCTTGGTCCATCGTGACTTGCGCTTCTTGCGCTTTGGCGGCTGGGTGGGGTGAGAGCAGGGTGAGGGAGAGAGAGCAGGAGAGGAGGGTTCAGGATGCCCCGTGGCTGCCACAGCATGCTGATGGGCTGAAAGAAGTCCTGCACGTCCTGCCAGGCTTTGGTCCACCGTGACTTGTGCTTCTTGCGTTTCCGCTGGGGTGGGAAGGAAGGTTATGAGGGAAAAAGAGGGAGAGAGGGTTTAGGAGGGAGAAAGAGGGTTCAGGATGCCCCACGGCTGCCACAGCATGCTGATGGGCTGAAACAAATATTGCACGTCCTCCCACCCACGCCTTTGTCCACCGCGCTTGCGCTTCTTGCGCTTCGGCTGAGGGCGAGTGTTTGCAAGAGGGGGGCTAGGATGGTGAGTCAGAGGGAAGGGAAGGATGGAGACGGACAGAGTGGGATGCAGAGCTATGTAGGTAACGACGGTGGCAAAAGAGCACTAGAAGGAATCATGTACCCAGTGTAGCGCCGGCGAGATAAGCCTCTCCTGACACAAGGGTGCAACCGAGTCTCACCTTGGAGGTGTAAGTGAAGCAGGTGATTCCACACGGCTTGCTGCGGTTCGAATCCTTCCCTGCACTGCAAGAGGCTACCTTGGAGGTGTAAGTGAAGCAGGTGATTCCACAGAAGCGCACAATCGCTCTCTGCTGCTGCCTGCCCCCCATGTTGCTGCAGCAAGGAGGGAATACGAGCCTCACCTGACGCCAAGATTGAACTGAATCTCACCTTGGACGTGTACGTGAAGCAGGTGATTCCACAGAACCGCACAATCGTCCTCTGCCCCTGCTCCCCATAATCGTCATCATCATCGTCATCATCATCATCAAAATCATAATCACTATCATCATCATCATCATCTCCTCCTCCTCCTCCTCCCCTTCCCCCTCCCCTCCCCCCTCGCCTCGTAGGCCGCGCCATAGGCTCCGGAAACTCGTCTATAACCTGAGCCATGAGCTTTTTATTCCGCAATGCATGCATTTCCGGCGGGCACGCGTTGCACGTCGGATCCATACACATCATCATAGATTTCTGCACTTTCTTGGTTGCAGTAGTGGGGTTCCCACCAGCGGTAGGGGTCATGGGTCCCCCTTGGCCCCCCACAGACCCTGGCAGCTGCAATCCCGTGGGTTTTGAGAAGCCTGACGCGAATTGGACGGACATGCGCCGCTGCCGCGCGGCTGCTGCGGCGGCGCTGCCCGGAGTGAGCATCTGGCGCATCCCCCCCGCGCCAGGGATGCCTCCCCCGATGGAGTCGTGGCGCTGCCGGCGGAATGGGTCTTGGGGGATACTATCGGAGCCTGTTATAGGGAGGACGAGGCACAGCAGGTCATGGAATGAAGCCACGAATGCATCTTGCTTTTGCAACGGAGGGAGCGGGTGGGAGAGAAAAAGAGAGAGACAACACAGAGGGAGGCGAGAAAAGGAACCGGCTCGGCAGAACGAACGGACCTGAAGCGCTTGGTTGATTTGGCCGAGTGAAAATCGCCGAGGCAGTCGTCCTTGCCCGGCGGGCGTTAGGTTTGGGCGCGAGCAAGTCAGGAGCTTCGGATGACAGCGCGCGGGAATGACGAGGCTTGGGAGGAGCAGGAGCCCCGCCTGTGGCTGAGACCGATGCCGGAGCGTCTGGAGTATCGAACTTCACCTTTCTCTCCCCTCCTCCTCCTCCGCCGCCGCTGACGCTGCTAGCGCCGCTGATTCCGCCGCTAATCACGCCGCTCAGCCCGCCGCTAAACCCGATACCTGCTATGTCGCCAGCACCCCCAAATAAGCTTCCGCTTCTCTCCCCTCCTCCCCCTGTGCTTCCCCCTCCGCGGCTGGCTTTCCAGGCGGAGCTTTCGGAGCGGGGAATTTCGCCAGAGCCTCCCAAGAGACCCACGCCGCTTCCCATGGATCCCGATTCTGATTCGGGCGAATCCGAATCTGAGTCATCGCCGTCGTCGTTCCACGAGAGGCCGCCTATCCGAGCCGGGAACTTAGGCTGGGGAAAATCCATCTTGCACCGAGCCTGACGAGACGTCAAGAACCTGACGCAAGCCTAGCGCTAGAGTAGCAGCCTAATGTACGGCTAACAGCATAGTACAAGCTAACAGTGGCTAATACTCTGGCTCGCATAAATACGACGACACCACCATTGGCTGCCTATAGGGGAGTATCCTATCGTCACTCAGGAATTTTGAAATCTCCTATTTACTGTTCGTGAAGTCCAAATGTCATGCTAGCTTGAACATAGGTTCGCGCATACTACTATGAAAGTTCAATTCCGCAAATTGCGGTTCCACAAGAAGAGGCCTTTGCGGACGCAATGGCTGCAGTTCGCTGGTTGCGGGAATTGTTCCTAATCACGAAAATGCATAACCATACTGAATCCAGCGAGCATGTCACGCAAGATCACTGCACTGATTTCAAGCCACGAATGAACGTCATTATACAATTCTGAAGAGCTCTCGCGTTGAGAATTCCATCATAAACGACACTCGTCGAAACACGCAGCTCTCATTTGCCCAGGTCGCGGCTTCAAAAGACGCTGATCGAAAAGGATACGCTAGGTGAAGCGACGCTGGGCGGAACTATTGATGCGACGTTGTGATGAAGACTGTGCCTGTTCCAGTGTGCCTGCACTGACAGGCAGAATGCCCCAGATTCCTGTTGACAGCTGTGAATGAATGACTTGATGCGAGGTGAGGTAAAGATGGTGGAGAACGGCGCTGCGCGGTGGCGAGTGGCGGGGAGTGGTGTTGATGAGATAAGGCTGTGATGCTGGTGGTGAGGTCAAAGGTGATCCCAAGAGAGAGCTGTGATGGTCATGCTGAAATCGGGAGGACGAGGCAAGGTGTTACGGGTGCAATGAATCGAAGTAGCGAGAATTGCAGTAAGGTGTCAAACGAGTACAAAATGTGAGCGAAGGCATGCAAACGGTAACGCGGTGCGTGCGAGCTAGCTAGTGCTGTGCTGGAAGCGAGGCTCGGGCTAGTCACGAAGTGTAGGCCGACACGGCCAGGCCAGCAGTGCGAGGTTTGGTGAAACAGTGCGCGCGAAGTCGGCGAAGCCCCGTTAGCAGTAACGGGCGAACAACGGCTACTGCTGTACGCGATGTTGCAGGGTGCGCTAAGGAATATCGAGAAAATTCCTTACACAAGGAGACGACGATGATCTCAAGGGCCGAGGCAAAGTGGTAGGTGCGGTGTCGCGTGACGGCTTTGGTGATGGCAAGAAAGATGAAACCTGTTATGAATGAACTTGCAGAGTGTGCAGTAAAACGAATAACGAGAATGGTTGACTACTGAATCCCGATACAAGGAAAGTGACGGGAAAATATAAGGGGAATCCTAGCTATGCGAAGAGGTCGGGCGAAGGATGGCTCGGTGATGGTTGCGATTGGTGCGGAGGTGACCCGGGAGTGGTTCGGCCGACGAAATAGGCCGAACAGGTTCGTCGCGTGACCCTCGGGATGTCATCGCTAATAACTGAATACAGTAAGGAATTCTAATTCCTTACAAAACCAATGCTGCAGGCATTCGAAAGAACACTGCTTTGCTTGTTACGAATAGTGGTTAATGAAAAACACTGTTGCGCACTCCTCACCGTAGCAAAGCCGAAGCACGCACTATCGAGAGTGAAGACGAAAAGGCAAAAGAAAGGCGAAGGGACAGACGGTTACGAGGAGCATCTGGACCGTCGGGCAAACAGCATCAGGCAGCAGCAGTGGCGAAGATTCTGCCCGAACAGTTACATAACCACTCGGAGTCGCACGGTTGGATTTCGCTGCAATAAGAGAATGTACCCCTTAGAGTACATGGCTAGTTAGGTCGTTTCGAATTCCTCTGTACTCATATTTATATTCCTTGTACTGCACGTTTTTATCATCTCAAGCATTTACATTCACTCTGCTATTGAGGTCAAGGGCCCACCACCACTAGACTAGAATTGTGCGAACCTTCCTGAGGTGATCCTGGTTACGATCACTTTCTGATTCTAACATGGTATGAGAGCGACTCAGGAATCCTTCGCACCGCCATCTCCGAAATCTGCGACATTCGGAAAGTGGCGTCCGGCACACGATCACGTGTAAGAATGGCCGGAGGATCTGGAGGTCAGACGAATCTGACGGCTGAAGCGCAGCCCAACCCGGCTGCGACAAACGAGGAAACGACGACGATTCCTTCCGCCGTCCTCGCACAACTGCTTCAGCGACTCACGAGCCTGGAGCAAGGGCTCCAGACATTGCGGAATGGCGATGCGGGAACCTCTTCCCAACCCACTCAACCGGCCTCAAACGGCCAGAACTCCGCCCCGCAAGGCTTCTCTCTCGATACGAACGGCTCAACCCCCAAGACTTCCTGCCCCAGCGATGAAGCAATTCTCTCTGCGCAATCAAGGTTTTTGAGCATATAAAAAATAAAGACAAGTGTGTGCTTTGACGGCAGAGACTTCTATACCTGGAGCTTTGAGATGGAGCTGCTACTGCAAAACGCGCAGATTTATAATTATTTCGACGGAAGCTACTCGGGGCCTGCGGAAGATACTGACGATGCAAAAACCAAGTACTACAACGAGTCCCTGATGGCGTATGGGGTTCTTCTGCGGAACATGTCGCCGACGGAGCAATTGAGCATTCGCTCATACAAGACCTCCCCTGCTCCAGCCCTCAACGCCTGGCGCCACCTGAATGGCGTATACCAACCCAAGGACTCAGTGTCGTCGAGCCGCCTCCTCCAGCAGTTACTGGAAACAAGGATGGCACCAGGAGAGAAAGCCAACAGTTACCTGAATCGCTGTCGGAGTCTACGCGATCAAATCGCGAAATTGGGGAGCTCGATCTCTGAGGAGATCTTCGTGAACATCGTGCTCCAAGGGCTCGGCCCAGAGTGGCGGCCCTGCAAGGCGCTTCTCCGACAGCAGGGGGTCATCTCGGAGGCCGCCCTTTGCGCCGCCCTCCTCGTCGAACAACGGGATATGGACCAGCAGCGACCAGCGCCACGACGAGAGAGAGAACGTCTTGCATTCTACGCAGACAACACGGAAGAGCAACGACCGTGGCGCCTCTACTGCAAGATCTGCAGAAATTTCGGGCACTTGGCGGATCGATGCAAGCATCGATCTCGCCCTCGCCAGACCAATCCGAGCACTTGGTCCGGCCGACAAGACGCGAGAAACGACACGCGTCCCGCCCAGGGGTATCAACCCCCACCGCGCAACCTGAATCCAACAACTCAGCAGCAGCAGCAGCCATCACAAGCTGCCCCCGTCCACAATGTCATGGGGAACATGACCATGACGAGCGGCTCTCGTCGCCCGCGCGCACGCTCACTCTCACCTGAGTCGGCGCCCGACCCAATCGAGGCATCTCCGAACAACAATCCATTCAGCACGCATCACGACTACAGCGACGACGACAACCAGGACTGGAATCTACCAGTCCCGCTGCTTGAGAGCCCTCCGCACGTACCTGACATGCGGCTGGCACCGATCGACTGGATCGCGCGCGAACAGTTTTTGAAGGTAGACACTCCACACATCGTCACTCCGCGACTGGCGCTGCTCGCGCGAAACGACAACAGGCGCTACAACAACTGGTACCTGGACAGCTGCTGTGGGCAGCATATGGTGGGCTCCGAGCGTTACATATCCAACGCCGTCTCCACTCCCGTCGTCACTTACGTCACAGTGGCGAACAACACACGGCTGCGCGCAAGCGCGCAAGGTATCGTGGTGCTCAAGGCACGAGGGAGCCGAACGCACATCACACTTAACGACGTGTTGATTGTGCAGAACCTGCGCTTTAATTTACTCTCGGCGGCGCAACTCCTGGATTGCGGAGTCATCCTCAGCACCGACCCCGAGACGCGCGACATCCTGCTCCACTTCACGATGCCGAACAAGAAGCGCAAGCAGATCGGACGGGCGCGCGCCGAGAATGGCATATACGTTCTCGACTTCGACATTCCCGACTGCAGCGGCGATTCGCAGGAATTGATTGACCTTGTCCCCCTGCGCTTCGAACATATTCATCGCCGCGATTGGAAGCACCTGATGGGCGCCCCTGGGTGCCACACCACTCACACCCCCGCGAGCTCGCGCTGCACGACCCCGATCCCGACGGCGTTTGCAGGGACTGCCACACACCAACGTCTTCAACGAGCGCGATCGCCGGCCGTGGCCTTGCCGCCATTCGCGAAACAGAGCGAGACGCACCGCCTGAAGAGGGTCTCTCCCAACTGGAGTTGGAAACAGCTACACGGGTCGTATTCGGCACACCGGAACACCCTCTTCCCGGACCCGCATCCCAGCATCTCCAAGGAATGCTCCGCGGCGTTGGCGTCGGCACCTTCGACGCGCATGGGAATCCCCGGCCCTACACCGAACGGAAGGCGGCAGAGATCTACTCTCACCGGCGCGATTCCAAGAAACGGCTCTCGCCCACGGAAGAAGAGGCATTGGCGCAACAAGAAGCCGAAGAGCTTCGGCGGAAGAGCCTCGCCGAGGCACGCGGAACGCTCGCCTGGGAGCAGGACGAGGAAAGCGCCTCCAATGAAGGGGGGTGGGGGAGCGCCGGCGGATGGGGAACGGGCGAGACGAGCGGCTGGGGAGCTTTCCGCGAGGATCAAAGGGGGGAAGAGGAAGAAGAATCTGCGCATGCTGAGGTCGAACCTCCTGTTGTTCCTCTCGGACGACCTCCGCGCCGCCCTGCGTTAGGACCACCGCCGCCTGACATCCCTTCAGGTAGTGACCCCTGGGACACCATTGACTGGGGAAGTGAACCACTCACCCCGCGACGCACTGTCTACGGACCTGCCCCTGAACCACGCGAACCGGCGTTTGTACTTGGCACGATCCCCGGAACCAACATCCCCTACTCCATCATCCGCGACAGAGAATTTCTCGCCCTCATGCTAACGACGGCGAACGAGGAAGAAGAAGAGAACGAGGGAGCAGCGCCTACGCCTGCACCGGCACCTGACGAAGACCCCGCAGCCGCACTGGAGCGCTACATGC